TGCTCGTGGCCGCGGGCGGGCTCTGACCACGAAAAATTCGAGAGCAAGCCACAAAGTATGACACGTCAATAGACAACACCATCGACACCACCGCGGTTGAGTCACGGGCTATCACGTGAGCACAACGACCAAGCCCAAACAAACATCAACACCACAGCCACCGATAGGTTATGGGTCGCCTATCACCCCCGACAAAGTTTGCAACGTCCCGCGACAACAACGACGACAAGCCCGACAGAACGGTATCACCTCCTGCATAGAGAAAGCACCAGACACCAGGCATGCTACGATCGATGCCACAAAATACTACAGTTTGCAGACAGATTGGTCCCCTGTCGCCCCCTCCGCGAAGAAGGATTGTCGCCCCTTCAACGTATGACAATGTCTGCGGAATCTGTGTACGAGCTCTCATACTTAGTAATCGGACGAATCGAAGCGGTTGGAGCATTGTGTTTTGCGGATTGAGTCCGACTCCAGGCGGTGGATGGAGGTGGTGGTCGAAAGATGGAAACATAGAGCCACATAGGAACCCAGCATGAGGCAACAAAAAGATTTACAGATTCAACTGAGATATAGCACATGCGAGTCTGAGAGGATGCGGACAAGATAAAGAGACGAAGCTGAGGGCTGGGGGGAGACTATAGGTATACAGAACCAGACATGGTGCCTAGCACCAACAGAACCGAAGTAGGAGGACGCGAAAGAAGGATTCTAGAAGGCAACACCAAGCGAGAGAGCAGGCAGGAGGACAACAATCTTCAACAGAGGGCATAAACACACAAGAATAGAGTAGCATAGTGGGAGCTTGGGGACAGCTGGTCCTGATCCAACAACAGGGCGAAGTGGGGCGTCGCGGTTTATCGTCGATGCTTCGGCTGTCTGCCAAACCCCGCTTTCCGGGCATAGCTGCTAGCATAAGAGCGGCTTCATAACCGTGTAGGAATCAATCAATCAATCAATGTCCTATCGTAGCCGCCCGACCCAGTGGGTCTGTTAAGTGCATCTGACGGGTCGTAACAAGAAGGGTTATACTTAACGTTATAAAGTATCTAATCGTAAATAACGTTAGGGTTAGTAGGGTCTTAGGTCTAGAAGAAGACGGTGCCTACGCTAAGTAACTAGACTAGAGCGCTAGAGGCAGAAGTAGAAGGTACTAAATCGCTCTTTTTAATATACTTAACGAAATATCGTAAGTTGTTAAAGGTTAAAGTAGTATAACTAGAATCGAGAACGATATCGTCTTAGGTAATAAGGTTATCGTAGGTAGTAGTAAAAACTGCTAGGCTAGCGATAGAGGCAAGGGTAGACTAGCCTAAGATAGTAGGTAACGCTTTGATAACAGTCTAGCAGGTATTATTAACAGAAGTAGGCTAATCCTAGCGGTAGCGATCGCTATATACATACTTTCTTGCTTTTTTAATTAACTTATCCTAGTTAATATAGTATAGAGGGATAAGATTAGGGTAAGTAACGTAATACTTCGTAGTCTCGTAATTATAGTTATAATAGTCGTACTTCTTCTTTTCCTTAGTAATAGTAGAAGTAACGGTAGTAGTAACGGCTAGAGAGGCAGGACCCCTACTGCTAGCAGACTTGCCTCTAGGTATATTACGAATAGTAGCATAACTACGCTTTTGATCTTCGTCTTAAGCAAGTATGTAAATCGTATCGGCTACCTTATTCTACGTAGGATAGGTAGCGCCTTTCGAGGTAAAATGCTTATATATATTAGGAAGTCGGTTTTTAAAGAAATTAAGAAGAAAAACAGCAAGGAAGGAGTCTAGCAAACGACCGTAAATAGTCTTAATACGCTTTCTAAGGTAGTAATAGCGATTAAGGGTATTATAAAGTATCTTATAATCGTTAGTAGTAGTCTTAGCAAACTCGTTAACAAGGGTAGCTATAGCATCTTATAAGATTCTCGGAATATACTTCTCGAGCCCCTGCTATAACTAGTATAGGTTTCTATCGTCGATCTAACTCGCTATATAGAGTCTGTTAAGAACCGATTCGCTAGCGTTTATAAGGAGACTATACGTAACGTTACGGTTCTTTCTCTATTCCTCTATAGCGATAGGGTTAGCAAGGCGAGGGACGTTAGTCTCGAGGAATATCTCGAAGTCGTATCCTTGCAAGGTCGCTATAATAAGCATACGCTAGGTATTCTAGTTAGATTTACCTTTTAGGCGAGGGAGAGGCGTAAAGACGGTCTTAAAGTCGTTTTAAAACATCTTAAAGTAAAAAATAAGGGTATTATAATAGTACGGGATAGACTTATAGTCGTACCTCGATTATAAGCGTTTCTCCGAGGCTATAGCTTTAGAGGCGTGTCTATACGTTAGATAGCTTACTTTCGCTACTACCTACGCGTACTATTAGAAAGGGAAGGTATTAAAAGTAAATAGTATTAAAGAAGTATAAATATTATATAGGAGGGAGAATCTTGCATAAGAACGCGAGAAATAAGTAGAATTATAAGATCCGACCGTAGAAATATAGTAAATCGAAGGGAAGAATAATACTCGTAGAAGATACGAGAAACTGATAGGCTAGTTTGAAAAACCGAAGCTAAAATAGTTAAATTCTCGTAAAAACGAGGAATCGAAGTAAAAGTATAGTTATAACTAAAAAGTCTGTTGTTATAGTAGAATTCCGTAGTGTTTGTGAAAACCAGTAGGTTATGGTGGTCGGTCGCGTGCTACGTGATATTCGTGCGCGCTAGGCAGCTAATATCGCGTCAGAAAGTGAAATTCGTCAGCGAAGAGGAAGGAAAGAAAGCGAGAAAATCGCACAGAAGGGTAAATAAAGCGAATAAAATCGCAAAAATTCGTAAATCAATAGAAAATTAACAGACGAGTAGAATAATAGGTAAAACGACGTTATTCCGAAAGAATAACGCTAGGCTTATAACCTGTGGGCGAAACCAGCACAGAACGCTCAGAATGGGAAAAGTGGTGTTGTTGGTGGAAGAACTAACTAACTGGCTAGAGGGCTGTGGAGGCTGGCTAAGACCAGTGGTGGCGGCCGTCAGCCCACGTGACGGGCCGGCGAGGCCTGCCACCCACACTTAATATGGCTAAAATAGCCGGATCCTCTCACACAGTCACGTCGCCTTGATCAAGGTCCATGTAGCTGGGGCTCTTATGCTGCAACCAAGGTGGACTTGTGTCGGCATATTGTCGATTTTATTCCAGACTTGGTGGCTAGAAGACTTCTAGACATTTGATTTTGTCAAGTGGTGCAGATCTATTTGGTACTCCGTCTCAAAACGGCTCTAGAACAGAGCCCTTTTTCACCTTCGACTTTGTGATTGCGAAATTGAGTTCCTCCACTTGTAAAGAGGAGCGTTTAGAATTGAACAGTCAATGCCTCCCATCCTGCAATGTCTGCAATTCTGACAGTACGACAAAAGGTTTGTGATGCCAGCAGGTTTTGGCAGGAACTTGTGGGCAATGGATATCAACACTTTCTAGCGCAAGATCTCCTGTATGCTTTTCCGACAATTGTAAACACTTTTTCAACAGGGGTCATTGGAGTGGGGATACGTGCAGATTACCCGATCTGATCAGCTCATCTGCGTTTTTCCGCGTATACACACAACCACATCGCAGATGTCTCTAGCGGCCTTTGTGTGATTACGCCACTTGCCAGTTGGTTCATGCTGATTAAATAGACCATACCGATGTAAGGTAGTTCTGGGTAAGATACCGTAGCAACATGGGCAGCCAACTTGCTTGCAATACAGCCATTTAGCTGATCACTATTAGAACCATTCATACCAGACATTTCCAGAAACAAAAATGCATTTACTTTCCCTTGCGTATTTGAAGCAGCATGCATCAGTATATCCAATGTTATTCAAAGTTCTCAAAAAAGATGTACATTGTCATGTCTCCGCGGCGGTCCACCATTGGGACAACTCGCGAAGTCAAGGGCGAGCCCTGTGCGCATTTCGCTGATCTTTTGCCAAGGACCACATGGGTGCCGAGTTCCGTGTAAAGCATATATTTCCAATAACAACCCAATAAGCAATCTATGGTGAACAGAAAAGGTTAGTGAGGTGCTTATACAAACTAGCAACTGTCTAGAGGTGGAGACATGCCTCACTAAAAGTAAATGCAAGCCAGGGCTACAGAGGCTGCGCCGTACAAGCCAGGCTTCAGCGAATTAGACAGACTCGAGGTGACCTTGGGCTCCTTCATAATGAGACGATACAGGGCCTGCTGCACGTGAATGACCTCAGCGATATCAGTGATGTAACAGTTTTCGTCTGCTAAGCGATGGATCGTTCAGTTGGTACGGAGTACTCCGTACATATTCATTTAACCAAAACCATCCCATGTCACAGTAGCCCCAAGCCAGTTGTACCAGTCCTCGTGAAACGGCGGATCCTATTGGCTGTACAGATAGTTATTGTAGTAGATCTACGTATGGGGCAGAGTTACACATCCAGCCAATGAACGAGTACAAGGCCTTGATTCACGATTGCTGGATTGGCAATTCGTAGTGTAGGCAATGCCAATCTGCCTAACTCCCCAGACTAGTAAGGCACCTTAAGATGCTTGATGTTGAGGTAAATTGCTCTTTTGGCAGCTATGCATCTCAACATGCTTGCGCCCAGTTATCAGAATAGGGGGTCGCTCTTATCCTCTGGCTTTTCGTCATTCTGTGGAGGGTCACAAGTTGTGATTTAAAATTTGAGATTTGCCTTAGCAGGGTGTGACAACGTGTGAGCAAGGAATTATTCCACTGGATTGGTCTAATTTTTTGTTCGGCTACGGTAATGACTCTTTGAATACAAACTTCCAATCATTCTATAGCTTTTTCCATAGTCTCCGCCCCAAGCTCCAATGGCAAATACCCCCAGCACCACAGCAATGCCAAGTTCAACTGCATGCAATGTACCAGTTCCCATGTTTCTATAGTATCTAATAGTCGTCTATGATTACCCAGCCTTATGTCCCAGCCCAGTGTCATAAAGTAAACTTCAGCTTGGAAAGCTAAATAGCCGCTAGGATGATGCGGTTCAGCCTCAATCTGGCCAAGCCAAGAATTACCGCGCCAAGAACGAGGGTTGCACCCGTCCACATGGACAATGCCAAGTATCCAGAATGACCAAGGATTTGGCCACTAATGGGCGGGCCAACAAGCGCTCTATCGATGCACAATTAGTGGTTGCAAAGCCAAACGCTAGCAGGAGTTACTCACGTTACAGAGATCGAACCCATCATGAAGCCTACAGCCAAGCCTTGACTTCGGTGGTGAGCAATCTTTCCTACGCATGCGCCTTGCAAACTCATGACAGCCTGTACAAGTATAATTAGCTGGGATCTTAGCGCATCATGTCGCGTGGTGAAGTCTTACTCCTGAACAAAATCCATACGCCAAACTCCAAACGGCCATACCGGCAAGAGATGAAGCCGCAGTCCAGCAGAAGCCAACAATGCCAGCAGAAAGTGTCGCTGCCGCACACAAGTTGAAGTGACCGTACTTATCCGCAAGGAATCCGGGAATAACTCGGCCGAGAAACGATGCAGCGTTGAGCCCAGACAAGAGGTAGAATGCAGTTGACGATGACAGTCCATGAGCGATACCATACGCCGAAACATAAAAGAGAGGACTGAAGAGGCCAAAGTAGCCAATGGCGAGACCACCACAGAGGAGCATGAAAGTCTTGTTCTTCAAAATAGAAAAGTCGGCTTTCTTCTCCGTCTGCGCCTCATCGCTCGACGATTGGTCACCCTTCTCGTTGCCATCGCCAGCTGACTCGGACGGGGAAGTTGGAGATTTTATAGGAGGTGCATCCACCACCGTGAAGCAGGCAATTGCAAGTAGCGGGATCATAGCAAAGGCGACCGCTCGCATTGTCCAACCGAAGCTGACTTGACGGTGGTTAAGGAGCTGTTCAAGCATGATGGGCCAGATGACGCCTCCGAGGGATGAGCCGCCGATGGTCAAGCCGAGGACGAGCCCGCGGCGGTGCGGCAGGCGGCGGGAAACAACAGCAACTGGAGGGCAGAACACAAGAGACATGCTCACTCCGAGGAGCACTCCTTGAGCTAGGAATGTCTGGTAATATTCTGTACAAAGAGACGTCATAAAAAGGGCGAGAAGCTGGCCGACACTACCAATACAGAGTGGAATCTGTTACATCAATGAGTTTTTGTTTTTTTCAACCATTGGAAACATGGGCTTACCGTAGGACCAAGTCTGTCGCACAAGATTCCAGACACTGGCGCGCCGATATAGAGAATGCAGATCGAGACGGAGCCGATCCATGATATATCTGACTCTGGCTTTCCGAGGTGGGTTTGATAGTATTCTTGGAAAACTCCGAAGGCATTGAGAAACCCAACAGTGGTGAAGAATGACAAAGACGCTCCGAATACTGCAAGCCACGACCGGATACTAGGTGATGTGTTAGACTAATTGATGTTTGTTAATCTATTAAACGCATGGGAGGTGAAAAGTACCTATCGTAGCCTGGAGGAGGCTGAGGGGTAACCATGATAATTCAGCGTTCAGGTTCCAAATCTAAGGATTGGTAACAATATTATGTCTTATTTTTATTCTGTACGCAATAGAACTGAGACTACATTATTACCTGAACCATGCGTTTATATGAAGGTCTTCGTCGTGATGGCGGTAAGCCCAACCAACCAAATGAATCCTGTCTCCGCGGATAATCCGCGGGGAATCCCTGGAATGTCCGTGGAGCATCCATGGACGTGCACAAGTTCAAACTTCACATCAGCACGCCAACCACCCAAGGTAAACCATTCTGTTCTATGATTAAATCGCAATTATGAAGCGGGGCACATTACATGATTCGAATGACCCTCGAAAGCGCCGTCGGCAGCCGCAGGTATCGTGCGATTCGTGCCGAAAGAAGAAGCTAAAATGCGACCGTGGAGATCCTTGCTCCAGCTGCGTGATGCGCGGGCTACCCTGCAACGGCCAGCCGAGTCCGCAAACAGCTACTGTACAAGCCAGGTATGTGTCTCGTTTGCATATATTACGAATGGATCTGCTAAGTGAGAAGTACATCGGCCCCTGCGCCAAGCGGGAGCGTTGATGACTCTATCCTCGGTCGGCTTCGTAAGCTGGAGCAAGCGGTATTCGGGTCCGGACCCGCCGCGGAGAACGGAGCTTCCACGGACCTTTCATCAACTATTCCGGCATCTAGCTTAGAAGATGGAAGACGCCGGGATCGGCATCACAGCATTGTTGGAGAGGTGCAGAGACAGCCGCCGTCGCGGTTGCCACGACGGTCTTTGATGAATAGCGAGAGGCAACAGACGGCCAAGTTCCTTGACTCTACGTTCACCCGTTACGGTCTCCATGTAGGTGTCCCAATGATACCCAGGACGCGAGTGATGACCGCATATTGACATGTGCAGGTCTCGTTACCACATGACAAGGTCGATTACCGCGTTGCCAACTTCAGCCAGTTTCCCAAAACACCGTCCTCCACAGCAACCGGCCTTACTCCCACCGAAATTGGAGACGGAAGACCTTCAACCTGGCTCATGACCCAAAAAGAAGCCCTAAATTTTCTTGACGACTTCATCAGCAATCCTTTTCACTTGCTTCCCATCATCCACGTGCCTGCTACCAGGTCTGTCATCAACGCGTTCTACACCAGCCTATCCCAAGGCGAGGACCCAAACCCTGCGCACGCGGCTTTAATCCTTGGTATCGCTGCAACCAGCGCGTTCTTTTTTAGTGGAAATTCCGAGGCCTCCAACACTTTCACATCCTCGGAGGAGGCCACAAAGACTGCCCTCACTTGGGTCCGATCTGTACTCAACATTTTTGAGCAGTCTCCGCCTTGTACACTTGGGTGTCTTGAAGAAGTTCAAGCGAGAGTGATACTATCTTACCTCGTGTACAACTTTGAGGGTTGCTCGGGGCGTTTTAGATTCTTACATTCATGTTCTGTGGCGGCTGCCCGTGAAGGGTCTCTTCACATAGTAGACAGTCCGAGTCTAGAACAACAGAATGACGCCGTGACTCGGGAAATCAAAAGAAGGATATGGTGGCATATTGTTGCCACGGATTGGCAAGTCAAACCCACATTGTCTCCCATCAACCTAATAGCTAACTGTATCTAGGATGCTTGGCCTTATGGGTGGTCCTACGGATGGGACATATAGCGTTCATCCAAGGCATATGAACGTGAGATACCCACGAAACATCAACGACGACGACGAGAGTCTATTAGACGAGACGATAAACCATCCACCCGATGTAGCGACAAATCTATCTTGCTTCCTTCGACGGATTCAACTCGGGGAGATCAGCCGCTCCATCATCGACGCCAGAGCCCCAGGGAATCCCGAAACCGAGATCGCAGACCCCGACCAAGTCCTCCAGCTAGACCGCCTCTTTTCAGATGTCCTTTCCGAGCTTCCGCCCTTCTTGAAACCGGATGGACCGATACCTCCCGGAGCACCTCCCTACCTCGCTCTCCAGAGAGACGTCGTTCTCTTGGGATTCCACTCGCGCCGAGCCCGGCTCCATCGTCCCTTCTTACTCCACGAGACTCAAGATGCGGCGAATCAGCAATCGCGCGACATTTGTCTTCATTCAGCCCGTATCGTCCTCTCCATTGCCACGCGTCTGCTGAAGAGTTCGCAAACGAGACAATCTATGCCATCTCACAACACGAGAGCCATGGGCCGGCGTTTAGGGTGCGTGATAGGCCACATGTTCATGGTATGCACCATTCTGGCACTGAACGCGGGGGTGGAGACGAGCCGCAAACAACATGGGGTATGCGAAGATGGGGCCGGCACCGTCACGGACGCAACGGCAGATACGCATGCTGAGGTGGCGGAGGCCTGCCGCGCTCTTGCGACGGCGGGGGAAGTCTCAGCCGTTGCGGCACGGCTGGTGCATAATCTTGCTTCCGTGCTGCGTCGCTATCGCGTGCAGGGAGTCGACGATGTTGGTGTTGCGGAGCCAGATCGTCCGCCTGAAGCCTCTTCAAACGTGCTCGATGATTTGCGTAAGGAGGCTCCGTCCCTTAGTGGCGGTGTGAACGGCGAGGATCATGAATCCGGGATTGACAACATTGCTATGGCTAATGGGGACTTTGGTCTCGATGGACTTTGGGATGGCCTTGTGGCCGATACTTCTACAGCATACGGCTGGGATCAACTGTTTGCTGGGTTGGACTCTTACTGTGGCCCTACATGATTGAATGAGATATCACATGTATAAGGTATGTTAATACAATAAAACCACAACTCCAAAACTAGCGTCTCTCATGAATGTGCATATCATGTCGTCTTGCCCATTCCCTCCCATCTTTCAAAATTCCTCGAATCCAAGTCAAACAAATCTAATAACCTCCCAACCATCTGGTCCAAGATATCATCGATGCTCGAGGGCCTGGTATAGAACCCGACAACAGGCGGCGCAATAATCGCCCCGGCCCTCGTGACGTCCAGCATATTCCTCAAGTGGATCTCGCTGAACGGCGTCTCCCTCACAGACAAGACCAATCTCCTCCGCTCCTTCAAACACACATCTGCCGCCCTGGTGACGAGATCGTCGCAGATGCCCGCGTTAATGGCAGCCAGCGTCTTGACGGAACACGGCGCGACAATCATGCCGTCTACTCTGTACGACCCGCTGGCTATCGGTGCGGCGAGATCGTGTGCATTGTATGCGTGGTCCGCCAAGGCCTTGACGGCGGAGGGCGTGTAGTCTGTTTCCCACTTTATTGTCTCCGCAGCCCATTTGCTGATGATGAGATGCGTTTCGACGTTGAGACGGCGGAGGGTCTGGAGAATGTGAATGCCGATTTGGGCGCCGGTTGCGCCGGTTATGGCGACGATGATCTTTTTGCGAGGTTGTGTTTCTCTCATTGTTGATGGTTTCTGCTGAGTGACTAGAAAAGTGAAGAAGAGTAGGATAAGTAAAGTTCTATTGTTGAAATTTAGGTTTAGTTGACTTGTTTTTTTTTGGTTGTGTCTTCGATGAGATATGAATACTTATGAAATACTCATTCGATATTGACTACTGAAAGGTCCATGAAACCCGAGTATTTATCTGATATAGCTGCCGCCGTCTCGGAGAGTTCGTGACAATGAACAGAATGTCCGAGACCCACAAGATCGGACGCCACCTATCTTTGATGAAGCTAAAGCGAATCAAGCTTTCTGAATCGCAGACTAACAAAAACCCATGGTCTCGGCGAAATCGGAGTGGGCCCATAAACGTTCATATTCTCGGTGAGTTCGGGTCACTGGTATTTCTAAGTGACGGGATTACGACCACCACGAGACATAAATGAAAGATGACTATCCGCAGTCGAACAGAAAATAAATCACTAGAATCTGAAAAGCATCCAAGAGGACTTATACATTATACCTGTTCTAAGCATCAGAACCAACTTCAAAATGTCATCAACAAACCCCCAAGACCTCCCTCACATGAACTTCCGCTCCTTCGTGGAAGCTCTCAAAAACGACGGCGACCTCGTCGAAATCAACGAAAAATGTGACGCAAACCTCGAGGTAGGCGCCATAATCCGCAAAGTCGTCGAGAGCGATGAGCGAGCTCCCCTCTTCAACAAACTCAAGGGTCAGGACAAGGACGGCTTCTGGCGTATCCTCGGCGCGCCCAACTCCCTACGGGCCGACCCGAAGCAGAGGTACGGCCGCCTGGCGAGACACCTGGGACTCCCTCCTACTTCGAGCATGAAGGAGATCCTGGATAAGATGATCGCCGCCAAGACCGCGACCCCTATCCCCCCCGTCGTAGTAGAGTCCGGCTCGTGCAAGGAGATCCGCCTGACCCCGGATCAGTTCGACCTGACCAAGCTCCCGGCCCCTCTCCTGCATCAGTCAGATGGTGGAAAGTACATCCAGACCTACGGCATGCACGTTGTCCAGTCTCCTGATGGCAAGTGGACCAATTGGTCCATCGCCCGTGCGATGGTCCACGACAGAAACCACCTTGCCGGATTGATTATCGAGCCGCAGCACATCTGGCAGATCCACCAGATGTGGAAGAAGGAGGGCAAGGATATGCCTTGGGCCTTGGTGTTTGGAGTGCCGCCCGCGGCCATCATGGCTTCGAGCATGCCGTTGCCGGGCGGGCTCTCCGAGGCGGAGTACATCGGTTCTCTGGTCGGCACGCCACTGGAAGTGGTGAAGTGCGATACCAACGATCTCTATGTGCCGGCCAACTCCGAGATTGTGTTTGAGGGTGTTTGCTCCATAACGGAGACTGCGCCAGAGGGGCCCTTTGGCGAGATGCACGGGTGAGTCTAGGTTTTCTTGTGGAAGATTACTTGTCAATTCCAGGGCTAATGAGTGTTAGTTATGTCTTCCCTGGCGAGGCCAGACCTCAGCCAAAATACAGAGTTGATAGAATCACCCACCGCAAGGATGCAATCTTGCCTGTTTCGAACTGCGGCAGATTGACGGATGAAACGGTAAGCATTACTTCATATCGCTAAAACAAATGCTGACCAAAGAAGCACACAATGATCGGACCCCTTGCGGCTGCCGAAATCGGATTCCTTCTCAAGTCCAAGGGCGTCCCAGTCAAAGAAGCCTTCTCGCCATTCGAGTCACAAGTAACATGGGTTGCTCTCCAGATTGACACGGAGAAACTCCGTGCGATGGAGACTACGGCTAAAGATTTCTGCCAAACGATTGGTGACATCGTTTTCAACGACAAGGTGGGCTACACCATTCATCGCCTTCTCATCGTCGGAGAGGACATCGATGTGTACAACTTCAAGGATGTTATCTGGGCATTCTCCACTAGATGCCGCCCTGGGTTGGATGAGTACAACTTTGAGAACGTCCGTGGGTTCCCTTTGATTCCTTACATGTCCCATGGCAACGGTGATAAGCACAACGGAGGAAAGGTTGTGTCAGATTGCTTGCTGCCGATCGAATACATCGAGGGTAAGAATTGGGAGGCTGCAGACTTTAAGGAATCTTTTCCTGAGGAATTGCAGGCTAAGGTCCTCAGCCGATGGGAGACTTTGGGTTTCACGGACAGAAAATAGAGAAAGGGTGGGAAATGCGTAAATAGAGAAAGCATGAGATGGACAATTTTGATTAATCAATGTCAAGAATCCTGTCAGTAGAAATAAATTGTGCAAGCGACTGTCATGCCGTACTTTTGTTATCTTTATTGTCTCATTATTGGGTTTGGTTACCTCTCGCTGCATGCTAACCATCGTTTCTCTCTTTTCATGGAACACTGCTGGAAGATGGTACGGTCTGCCTCACAACAAGAGAGTATTAGACAATAACGTACATAAACGAAAGGCTAACATGATTAGGGAAAGTTTGGAGGGAATGACTCGTTGCCATTTGGAATATCGTTAGACATGATGTAATCGAACGCGCCAAGCGGAGATTGATCGAAGTTGATAGGAAAGGACCAGTCGGTTCCGTTCATGTCCCAAAAGCTGACCGGTTAGCCCAAACAAAAAGACTTTTGATAAGAAGATTTACTTACTTATCTTGTTGCATGAAGAGACCTGGATCTTGCTCGTTAACTGGCTCAGAGTTGCCATCACGAGTGTCTAAACACTGATCATTTGTGTTATTGAAACCTCTGTTACCCCCTCTTGAACTTAAATCCCGGCCTGCCAAGCGCTGAAGGGTCTGAATAGCCTTGAGTGCTTTCCTGTGTGTATCAGAGAGATGATTGGATCTGTCGTAGTCTTGGTCTCCTTCTGAAAGACTGGCAACCATCTCATCCTGGAGTGTGCGAGTCTCAGGCAAATACCTCGTTTCGCGCATTAAGCTCAGTAGAAGAACAGAGGTTAGACCATTGTGAATGAAGGCCCAAGATCGTCTGGCATGTCCAGTAATTGAACGTAAGCGTACATATGCACGAACACTGCGTCTGAGTGAATCCCGAAATCGTTCCAAGACAACCGGTCGTTCGCCCTCATCAAGTTGACGAGCACCAGCACTGGAGATGAAGGGCCGACACAGCGTAGAAATGACGAAATTCTTGTGGAGCTCAAAAGCATAGTATTCCTGTAGCTGTCGAAAGGAGGTGCCCCTCTGAGGGTTAATCAAATGTGCCGATAATGAAAGTTCGACCGAGTGTATATCTTCCAGTATTTGCAAAAGCTGGTCTGCTTTCCGTTGATGGACGGATATATATGACAACGTGACGTGGCAAAGCCAGTTCATGGCGTGCAAATACGAGAGCCCATCGCCATCGGGTGATTTAGTGAGAACAGGCAGGTCTTCTTCAAAGTCCATTTCTTGCGAAGCCGGAGAGCGGCGGAAAGCAAGCGCCAAAAGGGCATCCTGCCAGACGATGGCGAGTCTAATCCTACGGTGAGACTTCCTTGCTCCTTCTTGTATTTGAGGGACTAACTTACCTCAGGTATCTTGTTTGCTCTAGATCACCTGATGCAAAAGGCAATCGATCAGGCTTTTTATTAAGCCCTAAGCACTGGGCAAGCCGTATTGTTGTTCCTCCAAGCACCCAAGCCGCTTGAGGCTTCATGTCATTCTGTAGGGCATTTCCAAGAAGCAGCAGGGTTTGGATTGCCTGCGCCGATGGGTTTGCCAAATAGTCTGTGCATCTCAGGAGATCGAATGCGTGTGTTGCTGGGTATCATAGTTAGAAAAGTACCTGAAAGACAAGAACAAAGAGTAACAAGTAGCTTCGGCAGGAACAAGAAACCGAAAGATATTGGTTAGACTAACTATGCTTCTGAAACAGCAATGTACGTTCAGTCAATGGCATATCTGAGAACTGAGCCCCGCACGCCAGAATCGCATGCAGTAAGCAGAGCCAGCGTGGGTCTACTAGTGAACCAGGGGCTTCTCGTGGGTTAGTTGCCCTCGCATTGACGAGGGCGCATATTCGCTCTTCGATTTGGCTCAAGTTGCATGTTATTACATGAAAAGGTTGTACCCGTTGGCGGTAAACTTCAAACAGTCTGAAAGTTTCTTGGTCACTAGGCAAAGTACTGAAAGAAAGGGTAGCTGAGCCAGACATATCGCTCATGCCAAGTAATGGCAAGATGCCAGTCTCAAATGCCGACTGACGAGCAGGGTCATCTCTTGATTGTGGTGAACGCTGGCGCACCATGTTAACTGCTGAGCTATCAGCGAAGAACGATATTTCTCGACGACTGGCCGGTGCTGTTCCGGTTGTCGGTACTGCTCCATGACCGTGGGCATCTCCTGAGTCCGGAGGAGTGGCTGCATCCACGCTAGGCCTTTCGTGTGAGAGTCTCGTCGAGGCTTCAGCGTCTAAAACAGAATTCTCCCTTCCCCGATGGTTTCTCTCTGGTGACATGGAACTTGGAAGACGCGGTGTTCTTGAACGAATGCGCGATTGGGCTCTGTCGAGTGAAGTACGAGATTCATATTCGCAAAGGTCTGGATGGCCTCGTTTCTCGCAGGTTGAACACGGCTGTCCCTTGCTACACCGAACTTTTCGTTCTCGGCATGGTAAGCATGATTTAGGATTTCCACGAACGCCGTTCTGGGTTCGTTGGCGGGACCGGAGGAGCTCCTTCAGGGTACCTTGACCTCCTTTCGGAGTTCTCGGAGTATCCTGTAGTGAGCCGTCCATTGGCTCCCAGCAGGTACAAAACTCGGAGATAACGAAGGAACAAAGTGTAGTAGTTTCAATAAAAGTAGTACAATAGAGAATGCGGGATAACGATTCAGTGAATGCTTACTGGTTTAGCAGGCGAGATGAGCGTCTGATGCGGCATCACCAGATTGATCTAGGTTGGAATGACGTTGGGTGAACAAATGGGACCCACTTGGCGTCGATTTCGGGGTTCGGAGAAACTTCGACATGGACTGGCCGTGGGCGACGTAAAAATGCGAGTTGTTCTTCATGATGGAATTGGAAATTGGAGAACGAAATCGTAAGGGGAGGGCAAAAAGGTAAAAGAAAAAACCAGAATGCTAAAATTTGATTCTGAATGGGCGGCGTGTGGCGTATCGATTGCAGCTTCCCAATTCGGCTACTATTGAAGGCGCCTTCTCCCATCGTCCAATACTCACTTTCTGCACGGGATGTTGCGATCCTTCACTGCTCCTTCTTGTCTGTAGATATTTGTTACCATTAATCAACGTCTCCTAAATTTATTTAAAATGAGATATTCATTTACACGGGTATAATCAATGCAAAATAAAAAGACCTAACGGGTTGTGGCGTATCACAGCAGGCTCAGGCTTACGCCGTATTATGAATTTGAGATTTTGATGAAGCCGCGACCATGTTGACCGAGATTAACTGTCTCATTCACGCAAACCAACTGGAGTAAGTCTCGGGCGTTCACCGTCTCCAGACTTTGTGATTGCATTAAGGAAGTTGCTACCTTGACTGGTTCCTTCTTTTCTTCATAAGCGACAGGAGTGGCTTCCCTTTTTTCCTTTTGCTTTGTGTTCCTTCCTTGGTCTCTCCAATTGAAAATATGCAGACTGTCGCTGCCGTTTACTCTACTACTTTTCCCCTTGTCTTCCGCAGTTTCCAGAATTTAGGGTCTTCAACCGCTACTACTGATCTCGTCGGCCGAAGCGACAATATAACGAACCTAGACCGCCTAAAATCTACTCTGACGCAAAATGGATCGGCCAAAGGCAGGACATACCTTCCAGTCGCCGAACCCAACATCTTTCGTCACCATTTCTTACGGATCCCGTACCATCGTCATTCCTAGGCCAGCCAGCTACTCTGAATTGCGCGAGACGGCTCAAAGTCTTTTTGCAATCCCCAAGGAACTTCGATTCAGACTACTTATTCAAATCCCCTGGGCGAAAAAGGAAGCAGAACTAGCTGCTGATACGTTCGACTTGGTCACTCACGAGTCTGTCCTCAGTGTTCAACGCATTCCCAAGGTGTCAATTTGTGTGAGGCAAGGTGAGTAGAATGCGGCGGACCTCGATCAAAGTGGCATGCAACTACTGACACTTTGCTTGTGAAGCATCATCTTCCGTGGCTCCCGCCCAATACCTTACACCTTACGATGTTGGACTCGGCACGATGATGTCCCTATACATCAAGAGCCAACGTGGTTCGGGAGACACTTTTTCCTTTTGGTACAACAACACGCGCGTTTACGACACTGATACACCCGAGTCGCTGGGGATGTCGATAAACGGAGATACAATCGAAGCTCGTCTGCTGACAGGCGGTCGACAACCCGTTCGAGTTCCCTCGGAGTGGCCGCTTCTCCCGTAGGCCGTATAACTAGTCCATAACGCCTTTTTCTCGATGCCGCTACTCTGCGTGTTTCGTCGAAAACCCCAGCTATATCTGGCCATCGCTGCTTAAACTTCAATGTTACCAAGGTGGACCTAACTTGGGTGGCCTGCATCATAGTGAGAGCTGGACTTTAACTACAACTGATAATTTTGCATTGCGGCGTCAAAAGGAACGAGCGAGACAGAATCGTCATCTTCCTATTAAACCCGTGTTATTGGATAAGATCTACTCCCAGCATAATGTTTAATACATAATAATAGTAGGTAGTTTACTGCAGAAAAGACAATGGAGTTCAGTCCGACAAATACCATCAAACATTCGACTGCCACAGAAAACCACCTAAGTGAATGTCAAATTCCTCACATGCTCATTGACATACATCGGAACAAAGTCTGAAGTCAAGTACCACCCGGGCTTCTTCATAGCGTCGCTGATCCGCAACCCATTAAGCGTGAGATTCTCAAACTTGACGAACTCGATATCCCTCGTCTCGTTGTAACCCGTCATGATAGCCGTGTTAGCGTTACTCCCATTATAAACAAGATTCCTTACCGTGACATTCGAGATGCCACGACCAGGCGACGTGTTGTATTTCTGGTTGTACATGACCATCATGGTAATTAGCTGCCCCATTCGAAAATCCTCAACACGGACGTCATCAATGAGTACATCCCGGACAAGATTGCTGTCGCCAGGGTTAATGGCAATGGCGCCTTGGTAACCCATCTGGAACTCCCGGTGGTCCATAATATCAACGTTTCGGATAGTGATGTCCGACATCGTCTCGGGGTTGATGGAGTTCCCGTGGGTGCCGATATTGATAGCGTGTGCTACATCCGCCCACAAAGCAGAGTTCTGCACTGTAATGTTGGCGCTGTCGCCGTACCAGTCGTTCCGGTGGTTGTATAGCGCGATGCAGTCATCAGAGTTTCGCATGAACACACCGTCAAGAAGAACGTTCTTGCTGCTGTAGAGGTCAATCCCGTCGCCCCATTTTATGGCGCTGAAGGAGCGGAGCTTGCGGATGGTTACGCCATTGACTTCGGCGGCGTTGAATGTGTAGTGGCCCGGGTTTATGACCGTGATAGACTCGACTATTATGTCCTTTGACCATTGAGCGGAGATGGCGCCTATTGGAGCACGATAGAGAACGCCATGGCCACGGATAGATGCTGATGTGGCGTTGTCAAGGGATACTGCAGCATTGACGACAGCTCCCGCAGCCAGGTACAGGGTTTGGCCCGAGGTGATGTTAAGGGTGGCGTTGAGAGTGTGGTATCCAGGACCGTAGTAGATTACACCTAGGTCATTTTCGCTTGGGATATCTTTTGGGATATGGTTGGTAATAAGATGTAAGACGTCAAATACGGAACTGGTCGTCTGGATAACGAGGTCCTTTGGCTCGGAGAGAGTAAAGATCAAGGTGTTACCTTGAACAGCGGGTTTGAAGCCGTAGGAGTCTGGCCGGATTCGCGGGGAGGTGATGGTACCCTCATTGTACGTCACCGAAATCTCTACGCCACCGTCAAAATCGAACATGACTAGGGAGCTCGGGTGGACTTTAGCGCCTCCGGTAGTGGTGTTAATCTCGTGGAGGTTGACTAGATAGGCGGGCACGGATTGCCATTCTCCACCGGCTTCGCGAACGCGAACGGTGTAGGAGGTAGATTGCTTGACCTCCTTTGGAATGGGGGGTATCTGCAGAGCTGATGCACAACTTGCTACGGTAACGAATGCCGCAGCAATCATGAACAAATGAGCGAGCAACGCCATTGGTCGTGAATGAAAAGCAATGTTCTGCACTCGAGACTATTCACTGATTTTTGAAGCTCTCGAAGCTCTCTGATGGCTCAATTCTCCTCTCTTATATACAGCCATGCTGGAGTCATCAAGAGTCGGGTCTGGCATCCCCGCATCTTTGCAGCTAGCTCCGGCTGATCAGCTGTTGGCTATTTACCCCGGGTTCACCCCGCAAAAGCTTGAAATTCCCCGAGACCTCGCCCGCTTCCGTCAGGGCCGGGCCGGGAGTCTTACCGATCCCGGGGTGGGAGGGAAAACGAATCAAGGACGGTACAGCTTCGGTATAGCTATATAAACTCATAGATATTCTAGCAAGTTCATTAGTTACACTTAGTAATAATTGAAAACTAAAATAGATATTACAGCTGCTGTGATGCTATGGGTAGGTAAGGTGAACTGAAGAGCGCTGCATCTTCTTCTTGAACCTCACGCTCCGACTCCCATAAGTCGTTTACGCCCTATTTCGGGTCGATTTGATCGCCAGCTTATCCGCGCGACAAGAACGCTTCTTTTCCTTTGTGCTCCTCGATGACATCTGGGTCAGTGCAATAGGCAAACTGCACACCATGTCATACTGGCCAGCTTTACAAAATAGTGCCCGTCGGCCAGCTTTGCGCGATTTCCGCCATTGATAGCTATGTCACTGTGATCGATCAGAGACGGAGGAATCGAATTAGAATCGGAGTTCGACTAGAAGTTGAAAGCTGTCGTTAAAAGACCAACAGCCACACAACACTACTGGATTCTTCCGCGTGAGTTAGTACCTAACAAGCTACATCATAGTCAACTTCTTACGCACGAGCGGAAAGAAAAATCAAAACTCCACTACCTTCGGTTTCGTTATATTGTTAGTATTATACCCAAGGTACATCAAAGTGTGAGCAACGATATTCTACTTCTGTGTGATATCATGGCCACATCTAATACTTCTAGCAATTAGCTTAAATTTTACCTACATAAAGTGCAGCTGGGAAGCTGAGTCTGGTCGACGAGATTGAATCTCTTGGGGTCTGGGTCCAAAGGTTATCTCCTGTCGAGGGATGGCTCAAGGGAATCTTTGCATGGGTCTGCTCTGGTGTATACAACATGAGTCATCGCGAAATTTAGGCCGAAATGCGAATATGCGAGCATCTCGGATAACAATACTGGTTATTAGACATCAGGCAGGACAGTAAAGTAATTTGATGTTGGGGTTAGCCGAGAGACCGCCATTATGGTGTTGACGTAGGCCTACATAGCTTCAGTTAAAGCTCTCTCAGATTCATCTCATTGTTCTATCCGCGTTATTAACTGTCATTCATTGCTTAAGAGTCCGTTTAACATAAGCCACCAGTAAGTAAGGATGGTATCTGACCGCTTATGCAAATGACTTAAACTTCCCATCGTCGATGGGAAGCCCTAGCTTTGCCAGAAACTCGATTCATTTTCTTGGAGATGGACGAAAGACCTCCGAAACTGCCTCCGACTCTCCCACGGAACGGCTTCAGCAAGTAACCGCACCGGCTCAGGTCGATTAAGTTTCACAGCTTTTGTTCGTAATACGGAGTAGTGAAGACAAGGTTGTCCCAGAATGCTACATCGCAGCTCTTAATGATACTTACAAACAGAGTAATAGCGGTTGACTCAGCTCTTATCAGGGAATTAAGCACAATACCTCTCTGAATGCGGCATCCCCTGCATGATTGGGAAATTCAACAGGTCCTTTTATAAACAATTCGTTACTTCGAGGTTGTTCTCGAGAAAGGTTTCAGGCATTCGACTTGGAGCATGCAAATGGCCCTCTAGTTTATGGGAAATTTGGAGTCTGGGACGACCTCCAGAACGTGGTCAAACTAACTACTGTTTCGTACTCATAAAATGCCTCATTGCCTCATTCTCAGCTTCGCTTTTTGCCAAAAGTAATCTCAGTTCGTCTCTCTCCTTGATAGTGTCCCGGAGTGCCTGCTCTAACTCCTCAATACGGTCTGTCTTTTTCTGACGATATTTTCGGGCTGCAACGGTATTACGCTGGCGTTTCAGCAATAATTCTGTAGTTTCGTCTCGGTTCTTGAGCGATCCCTTTGGGGGAGCCTGGGATTCCGTATCAGGATTCGATTTCGAGCCGGCTGAGAAGGATGGAATGGCTGAAGTAAGAAGGATGCTGTTGGAAGAGGCAACTTCGGTAAGAGAGGGTGGACCGGGTGTGAGTAAAGGTTCAGACGGGCTTTGAAGAGGCATCAAATCTGTCCAACGTCAGAAGAGCTGTTGTTTTAGTGAATGGGAGGAGTTGGATACTTGGCCGGGGGGCAAATTCTTGCATCACATGAACTGGTTCTGTATTTGGGCCATGTTCTTGTGGGTTCCATGTCTCTTCCTCCCACAAAATGGCCTGTTGCACTGTAGAATCCTCGGCGACTGGTTGGTTGTAAAAAGAATATTGTTCTGACAGTGGCCACCGAGCGTTATCCATGAGACTTGCTACGGGCACCTCGTAGCCAGCCTCCTCGGGCAAATTAGCTGGGTTAAGAGACGGCAAATCCGATGATAAAACGGCCAGACTGGAGCCCGACGGCAGACGTGCGGGAGATTGTGAATCCGTTACACATCGCGGATATCGTGGTTGCAGAGTTAAAGTGGCCTCGTAGAGGCCGAAAGGAGTGCTGAGAATCGAGAGGACGAAAGCGTGCGAGGAGTCCTGCGTCGATGATCAAGAGATGTGGGTTTGCCGGGAAGGCCGACTTGGAGGAGCTCAGGGGCTTACAGGTATAGGTGGCCTTGAGCACATTTGGTTGCCCTGAGCTGATGGCAATGTCACGTGCGAAAACTGTGACCATGTTGTGTAATGATCGCTATAAATGGGCACTAAAGATTCTTCGGACCAGGAATTAAACCAATGAACACAAATTACAGCGTGCTCTTGTCCTTGTCCTGCTACGTAAAGACCGAATCGCTCGTAATGGCGTTGGTAACTCACCCATCCGCCCATCACCGCATCTCGTGTGAGATCATCGTTGCCGGACAAATTCTAAACCAAACACTAGTCATTACCGTTTCTCGTAGGTCTAACACTACAATATGAGACAAAGCGAGGCCGCGAGCATACCGGAAAGAGGTATGATGCATTTTAGGGTATCGTGTGTCAAGGATCGTGGCTGACGTGTGAAGCATTGCCAGGTGAGACCATTGACTACATAGATCTGTCTTCTCATCCATTCACTTCAAAGCTCAAAAGAAGAAAAAGCATCATGGCGAGATAGCTCAAGACGAAATGATCGTTATAGTTACAAATAGGACAACTTCCGATTGCCAACATATGTGCTTGTTGTCGGATTAGACGGCTTTAGGAAACGGTACGGGAATAGTAACTGGGAGATCTGTAGGCTAAGACATTTTCATTCCAGATCCACGATTTCTACTGTTTTCTATTGACTACCGACAAGCAATAAATACATCTTCACAAGAGGAACACAGCCATTCGCATGTAATGAAACTTTTTTTGTGTCTACCAAACTACCTAGTCGACCTGTAATTTTGTCTCTAAATAAGCTGGCCGTGAAAGAAGCGCCTAAAAGTAGCATCTGGATGACAGACCACATACCATTGCAGATTTCTATTACAAGGTAAAATAAATACGGCTTCAGTTTGTATTCGTCATGAGGAGAAGCAGATTCAATGTACTTGATTCCTCGCAGCAGTGGGTGGCATTTATGCAGTTAGCAATGCGAATAGTTTGACAATCGATGCGAAGGCCTCGGACTTTCGCTCCATCATGTGTTAAAAATTAATATTGTATCAGAATGACTCATCGTGGTTCATCATGAGTTACGTTTCACATTGCATTGTTGACCACCGGCCACCAGCCGAGCGCGCTAGAAAACTCGGAGAGTCTCAACTAGGCTTAGCCCAGAGACACTCGGAGAAGTAGGTTTGATAAGGGCCTGCAAGCTCAAATGGCTGAAAAGCTAGTCCAGTTGTGCATCACATATTTTCGTCTCTCTGGCGCATCTGCCTCACTAACAATCCACTGCCTACTATATATGACAACAGTTTGCTATAGCACAAAAGACTGACAACGATGAACGACTGAATTCTCACGCTGATGCCACAATGGACAAGCACTTGGACATATTTGGGCAACAGCCATTCTTTACTATCAACATTCAGTTATCCTTTTGCTTCGATGTACCGGATCCCTCCTTGTACCCTGCAATCACAAAATTGTTAGCCTCTGGTCTGGAGAGACTGTGCACTAGCTTCCCATGGCTTGCTTCTGATGTCACCAATGAAGGATCAGGTAACGGTAATTCGGGCATCTTCACATTCACAACACCAGAGGACGCTCATCGTCTTATCGTCAAGGACCATCGACATGACTCCTCAGTTCCGACGATGGAGGCTCTTCGGCTGGCCAATTTTCCTATGAGCATGCTCGATGAAGCCGCAATTGCTCCACGTAAAATATTTCCAGACATTCCAAGTCCAGCCCCAGCTTTCCTTGTGCAGGCAAATTTCATAGACGCGGGCCTTATCCTCACCTTTGTCGCTCAACACAACACAATGGACATGACTGGTCTAGGCCACGTCGTTCATCTTTTTTCAAAAGCTTGCCATGGAGAAGAGTTTAGCGAAAAAGAAGTATTGACCGGCAACATAGCCCGAAGAAACATTGTTCCGTTACTTGGCAACTCATACACACCAGGTCCCGAGCTTGATCGTTACATTGTCAAGCCTAGGGTGTCTCTCGGCGCTCCTGGTCAACCACCTGCGTCAGCTCCGCAATGTGTTTGGGCCTATTTCTTCTTCCCACCAGAATCTTTGGCGAGTCTAAAGTCGCAAGCTTTGGAGTCACTCACACAATCTTCTTTCGTCTCTACCGATGATGCTCTCACCGCCTTTCTATGGAAGTCAATATCCCGCGCTCGCCTTTATCGCTTGCCTTCAGAGGTATCTTCGACTGTAATGCGAGCTATGAACGTACGGCAGCATCTCGGCATCCCTTCAACCTATCCTGGACCTATTCAAAGCAACGTGTACAGCAAATTCACCCTTCAAAGGGTCGTCGAAGAATCTCTTAGCTTTCTAGCATCGAACCTTCGCTCAGCCCTGGCCCCGACGCACTCTGATTTGGGAGATCACACTCGGGCTATTGCGACATTTCTCAGTCGTGCAAAAGACAAGTCTGTTTTTTCTTTTGGGGCGGAACTCGATCTGTCAGCAGACGTTATAATCAGCTCATGGGCGAAGGTAAACTGTGCTGAGATTGATTTCAATCTGGGACTGGGATTCCCCAAGGCTGTGCGGAAACCGCGGTGTAATACAGTGGAAGGTCTGACATTTATAATGCCTAAATCTCGTGATGGTGGAATTATGGTAGCGGCATGTTTGCGAGATGAGGACATGAAAATGCTTAGAGCCGATGAGAATTTTACCTCATTGGGAACATATGTTGGCTAGGTAGTTTATATATCTTCTCCCTCAAAGTGTTAGCCAAGAATGGATAAATGGTTTAATTACCACGGTCCTGGTGTAAAGAATGTCAGTCACGGATTTTTCTGCCACCGTCCCATCTCATGGCACGTCCGCCGCGTGTTAACGCTGTCTGAAAGAAGCCTGAATACCAAACTGCAAAACTGGTAGTGACCTCTACCTTCATTCGCCATCGTCATTGCCCTTACTGTCCCTGCATGAAGGACATGGCTTCAGTTGATGAGGATCATGGAGATCATAACTAAATCATATGAGCTCTAACATTTGCTTTCTTTAACTGTCATGGGTGTGACGGGAAGAAAAATCTCTTGCTCGCTTACATACATCAGACTTACTTTGGGCTCGGACTCCTCGGCATGTATGAGAGCTTCGAATCCAACAGATCAGGAACTCGGTCTTCCGCGGGCGTTTCCCCATAGAGCACCCACAGAACATCTGTTCCGGAAGTTCCTTAGCGTGCTATTTTTTTTTTTTTTACCAAACCGTGTTGTTCCTGTACCACTCTATATATCGCCTTTATCTAATTACGATCGCTGCATAGTTTACTAATCATAGGGTTGAGCGGATGAAACTGGGAGCAGAGGCAGCACAGACAGTAGATTATGTCAAGTCACTTACTGGGGAGCCTACCAACACCCTGGAAGACATACTATAGCCCCTGCAACTGACAGAGACAACGGGCTTGGCCCAGGGATTTCAGTTCGGCACATTTCTCACTACAGGCAGCTTAGTCACTACCATAATCGGCGCTACGAAAACAATCGGCAACGCGAGTGCTAAGCTTTCATGAGCCACCACGGACGCAATCACCAAATCCCAAATGCCACTGGAGTAAGTTGTTTACTCCTTCGTACTCATATCCTTTTGCTGCACTATGTAATATGTCCGTAGAACAGTGGACATCGGCAGGGATTTGCCACCATGAATACAATAGCTGCAGCGGTTATACTATAAGCGGGCAGCATTCTTTACAGCTTCACAAGCATGAACTGCCATGGGCGCTTGAAGGTTCTTAGCAGGTCATGATCTATCTATCTTTTGATTTGACTTTCTTGACCGGGAAAGACATGTTTCGTTTTAGCCAAGTCCCTATATGCCCAGTTTTGGTCCTTTAAGGCATGTAAAGCACTGAGTGGGTCAATAGAAATGCTGGCCGCTCGGTGGAACTGCTGCGGCTCATCTTTAACAAGCATTCTCTAACGCTGGTACACCGTAAACAAGGCTATCGTTCCACATAAGTAAAGACTTGACCGCGATTACGAGTTGATCCCCGATGTTTGGTTGCGACTCATGAAGCAAGTTCATGTTACCGGGCTCTTAGTTCCTCCCGATTCGCCGCTGACTAACCACACCGAACACCTCTCTAAGTGGTCTACAACATGAATTCATAAAGGCCGTGAAGTATTTGAATACCTCGATTGAATTCCTTTCATTCTTCACCAGAGCAGTAATTTGTAAACGTTCTTTCTCAAAATACCAAACACCCCAGCAATCATGACAATCGTCGAAAAAAACACCATCACCATTGATGGCGTGACCCAGGGTAGCCAGACCGGCATCCAAGTCATTGTAGTCGGTGCTGGTATCGGTGGTCTTATGACAGCATTGGAGTGCTGGAGAAAAGGACATAAAGTTATCGTTCTCGAAAAGGCCGAGGAGCTATCCGTCATGGGTATGTGAGAAGTCTTCCGTAAGCAGTGTCACCAGACTATGCCGCTCACTGTACATCACTCTTAGGGGACGTTATTGTCATTGGGCCATCTGCTTGGGTTACGATTGACAAATATCCAAGTATGGCGGACGACTATGAAAAATTGAAACATGACGTTCTCTTCAGCTTCAAAAGTCAGCAGGGCGAGCTTCTGCTTGGGCCGCAGGAGATTGAATGGAACTGGCCCGGGGTGGCGCAACACGCCAGCCATCCTCGAAGAATTGCAGGCATAACAAGCAGACGAGATATCGCCGAAATGTTATACAACCAAGTGCGGAGACTTGGTATCGAAGCGAAGTTCAGCACTCATATTGTACAGTTTGCAGAGAACAACGATGAAGGAGTTGCGATTGCCAGGAGCTCAGATGGGCATGAGTTCATTGGAGATGTTGTCGTCGCTGCTGATGGATTAGGTACCAAATCTCATGCCGTCGTGCTCGGCCAGGAAGTCAAGGCTATAGCGAGCGGATACGTCTGTGTGAGGGGTTCTTTTCCAACTGCAGCTGTTCAAGGCGTGGCTTCAGTTCAAGCTTTGCTCCCGAAAGCTGGAGAGCGGCCTAAGATACTTGCTTATACTGGGTTGGTACTGGTACCCTTCGGTCTTGGCCTTTAGTAACATTGGGCGCACAGAGTCGGAACGCATCTCATCCTTACTTTGACGCATAAAACAATCTGCGTTGCGCTCACATCTGAAGTAAGTCTGTTCTTTGTATGGACCCTCAGCCCTAACAGTTACTAGGACGATGGAACAGCCGAAGAATCGTGGTCAAAAACGATCTCTGGTTCAACGATAGCCAATCGTCTGTCGACGGCTGACTGGGACCCTGCAGTTGTCGATTGCTTCAAGAACGCACCTGATGGTCACATTGTGTCTTGGAAACTGTGTTGGCGTGACCCCCAGCCCAAGTGGACCTCCGCTGGATCACGGATCATCCAGCTAGGCGATAGCGCCCACAGCTTCCTACCCACATCTGCCAATGGCGGTACAATGGCTGCTGAGGACGCCTTATCTCTTGCAGAATGTCTGAGGATTTCAGGTAAATCCAAGGTGCCTTTGGCCACAAAGGTTCATGAAGCACTGCGGTAAGTCACCAAAAGGTTTAGTGAAATATGTTTGGCCCACAGAAACTGACTCTTCTACAGCTATCAGCGCGTTTCTCTGGTTCAAAAAACGGGATTCGTCAACCGACGGGAAATGCATCGCGACATGAAAACAATAACTCAGGATGGAAACAGGCCAATGCTGCAAGGCAAATGGATATGGACGCACAACCCTGAGCTATACGCGACCAATAACTATGAAGCTGCAAAGTCTGCCATTGAAGCTGGTGGCCAATTCAAAAACACCAACCTTCCGCCAGGTCATATATGGGAACCGTGGACGATGAGCCAGGAGTTGGAAAAGGAGGCCTCTGGTGTTTTTGTTCAAGACCTCAAAACCAATGGGGATTGGGGAGTTCTTGCATAAACTGAGTTGTGTTGAGATTATAGCCCCCGCACCACATAAGGGGATTGATATCAATTCCAGACTAGAGCAGTGTACCTAAGATAGTTTTCATTTTAGGAGTAACACCCAAAAGCCCTGATTGATGCCTCAGGGGCACGTCTTCATCCGTTACGTCGAGCCTGTTATGCTAGAACTCAACCAGTGACACACAACTGACAAGTCTTGGACATGCGATGCTGTTACCTCCGCATCTCAGACGTGCTAGGCATAAGCTACTCGGACTCCCTCTGAAGCATGCAAATCTTCCCGAAAGCCCGCGCGTCAAGGCCATCGGCTTCACAGCCGAGTCTCTAGTAGAACCTCGTGTGAGGCTCTACGTACGTTTGTTGGTCGTGCGGTGAGAGCTTCCCGTGATGTTTCACTAGAATGCGAACTGAAGATTACAGTCGGATGCTGAGTCTTGAAGCATTGTCTCAACTCTATGAGACGCCGTTAGGCTGTCATAGACTTATCATTATGGAGCAGGGCAAAGCTTTCCTTCTTTCACTAGTAAGCAACAGGTTGGAGAGTGTAAGCTTCAAAAGCTCAGAACCTTAGACAAGATAATTCACGTGTTTACTTTTGCGCCCCGAAAGATCCATACGCCCTCTGAAGCTTGGTTCTCCTAAATCGCCCTTAAAGGTCAAGGTACTATTGGGCAGCTGAGACTTAAGATTGCCTTTTGTCACCAGGTGGTCTGACATGTGCAGCCCAAATTAATGAAGACTATCGGGGTACGAATAACTGAAACTCCCTTCTCGATGTATTGTCCTCGGTGAATGATTGTTCCATGCATACGCGACTCAGTGCTCTTTGTGACTGGAGTGCCATTCGAGCAACGAAAACGAAGGGGAAGAGGGCATAAAACCTATATAGTTGTGAATCGATCGATATCGGGTTCCATGAGAAATACACCGACATTTTTCAGGCCTCATTAAAACAATGACCGTGACCATGAATCGAAGGATCTATTCCAATTATCCTCAATATTGACTGTATCATACGCCCGCTCATGGCATGATATCTTATTGAAGGCGCCTCAATTCGAGATGCAGCTCGCTTGGCTGTACTGATGTCTGTAAGGGAATTTGGCCTGTTCCTGTGGTTATTAAGGAGGATAAATTCTTTTCCAATTGGCCTTTTTTGATATCAACCTGGTCTTGGCAAGGCACCGGCTGGACCTATGCTTTTTTACCTTTGGAACTCCCTTGCGCCCATCTCCACATGGTTAAGGTAATTTCAATTCCGGTGCTGCCGGGCATGGGATATTTTCGCAACTTCTTTCGTCATAACGGAGCTTTTTGGGCTCGCAGAACTAATACTGCGTTAGTACAGTTCATGTCATGACCAGTTCATCGCGAAAACCTACCGCATTAAACGATAACCATACCATGCACCATCTTTGAGCATTGAAGGAACAATTTGATTGGAAAGCTAACTGTTGGTTAAGTGCACTACGACGCTAGCCGCGCGGTTGTGACAGTATTCTATTCCTCTCCCCACCTGGGACGCTGCGGAGTATCCAAGGACCATGCCTGTTGCCGAAGTGTTAGTTCCAACTCTAAACAACGAGAACAATATGACCCCTGCTGCCCGTTGAAGCCTTGTGTCACGCAGTCAATTTGCCCACCACTTATGGGGTAAAAAAAGATGCTTCCATTCATTAGAGACTGTCTAGGGGTTATTGGGTTGATTATATAACCGTCTATTCGGTAATTACCGATTTGAAGGTTTTCATGCACAAAATGACATCCCCGTTAGTTTTATATGGGAAACAATAGCCGGGTGCATGGGTTGAATGCATGCCCCGATATATGCAGTGGTCCGTGTGACACACCCCCTCAGAGAGGCAACCTGTTGTAGGTTGATTCTCTGTATTCTCATTCAAATACAGAAATGATACTATTCAGAACTCCGTATACTTACTACCAAATTCCAGATTCATACTGCGTTCTTCTCGATCAAATGTTCAATATTCATTGCAGCAATCCATTTGTGACTGTATTGGTGTTTGATCGCTTCACTGTAATTCTTTGGAACTGGTGGAAGTGTCTTTTGGTGTGGATTGCCTAAATCATCTGCTGATGCATCCCATTGATCTCTTCCTTTTACTGTATCCGTAGATTGCAGTGTGAAGTGGGATTCTCTTGCTCTTCTCAGTCTTTGTGATGATCTTGTTGCTTCTGGTGGCTGTTGATTTGTTTGACCAAGAGGGGCTGATCGATTGTAGATGTTGTGATTTCTGCTGCCACGAGGTCTTCCCCTTCTCGCTATGTTTGGGATTACTGTGGAGGAATCTTGTGGTATGATTTCTTCTGGTTCCAATTCTATGACTGGTGTCTGTTGTAGTTCGAGTCGGTCTGTTGAGGTTTCCTCTATGGTCTCACTTTGATCCGATTGTTCTGGAGTTGGCGATACTTCTGGAGTTTCTGGAGTCTCCCTCACCCCCTCAGTTGTTTGAGAATCTGACAGCTGTACTGTTGGTGATAGAGAAGTGGGTGTAGGTAATTGAAAATCCCCTGATTCTTTCTCCTGCATCGGTGTTGCCGGTGTTGTTTCTTGAGCGGCTGGATTCGAGGCGGGTAGTGGCCCGGTAATATTATCGCTGAAATCTTCTCCATCCCAGCCAGCTGTGTCTAGGTCTTGTTCAATTGGATTTGTGAATGGGATATCCATTTCTGTGAACTGGAATTCAAGTTCCATTTGGCTTAACTTGCTGGTATCCTCAATCCTTGGATCATACAGCGTGTTTTCGTCGAAAGTAACGTCTCTAGTTCTCATGACTTTTCCTATTGCTGGGATCCAGATTCTGTAGATATTTGTGCTGTCATAACCACATAGATAGCCAATATGAGCTCTTGGCGCAGTTTTGTTTGACTTTTCTATTCCTCTCTTGTAGTTTTGTGTCAAGGGGTAAGCTCTGCAGCCATATCGCCTCAAGTGTGCTAGTTGTGGCTTTTCAGCCCTCTTGTGGGTAGACTGTTGATGAGAGTTCAGCCAAGTGTTGACCAACCCCAATGGTGTCTGCCACTTGTGGCGTCTTCGAGGCAATCTGTTTGACAGATAAACTGCTGCTTTTGCCAGCTCTGGTGCCATCAATTCAGGAAAGCGAGATTGAAATCGAAGTGCTCTCATGATCATAAACACAGCACCTCCAGCTCTTTCTGCTGGGTTTTGAGCACCAGTGTACTCAGCTGATCTTTCAATCATATATCCATTCACAGCTGCCCATAGTTCAAACGCATTGCGTAAAGCAACCTCCCAATCTAGGCGTAGAATAGAGATTTTGATAAAGCACTGTCTCTCGAGGTATGCTGCTAATTCTGTCATAGCTTGTAGTCCCTCCTTTCGAGTACGAAGAGTTCTTATCCAGAAGAACCCTGACCAGCCATCGCTGACCAGCAGGATCACCTTCTCCCCATTGTATGCTTTGCTAAGTGTAAAGAAGTCGAGAGATAGATAATCTCCTACAGCAGTTGGCCAATGGTCTGGGTTTCTGCGGGAAATTTGGCGAGTTGCCTTCCCAACAGCACAGGCATCACATTCCACTTTTGTGATTCCTTTTATCTGTATCCCAAGAGCTGTTTTAAGTAGCTGTTCCAGTCCCTCAGCGCCTGGATGACCAAGTCTCTCATGCCACAACTTGGCTTCTGCTGATGATGTTGGGAGTGGTTGTCTTGTTGACTGAAAACCTTTGGTTGGTTTCCTTTCTACGGTTGGGCTGAATCTCACAGTCTTCTCGGTATTGCTGAACGAGGTATTGTTCAGCAGAGCTGGGCCAGCTTCAATAATGTATTGACCATATCGGTTTGGTGTTTTGAATAGAAGTCTGCCTTTTGAGTCGATAAGACCCGGTATTCCTGTTGTAAAGATGATCCCTTTTTGCTTCAGCGGTTCTGTCCCAAGGAGCGATGTTGGGTATCCAGGCACAAGCCATACATTTCTGACTTTGATCTCCTTGTTGTTGGATTTGCCGCCTTGGTTTGGTTTGATGATCATTGTGCCTTTCGCAATTGCATGTACATCTCCTCCTCCAGAGGTGAAGTCTTTTGTGACTGTGTAGTCGAGATCATGAAGTCTTGAGGAGTCGTTGCAGATGTGGAATCCTGTTCCTGAGTCTACTATCACACTGTCTGACAGTGGGAATCCTGAATAGAGACTTGCTTCTCCTTGATTGACGATAGTGACGAAAGATGAGAGTGATCCTTCTCCATCAGACACTTCTTGAGTATAGTGGGATGATGATTGTGTAGTGTTTCTCCAGTTTGAGGAAGATGTTGCTCGATCTGGGGACTTTTGAGACTGCTGATCGCTTGCCCCTTTTCGTAGTTTTTCAACTATTCTCTTTAAGTGTGGTTTCTTCTGGAGATACTCATTCAATCTTTCCAGTGCTTTCTTATTTTCTGGATTATCTTCATGATAGTTTGGGCCTCGCTTCTTAGGGTTGGCATGTTTGCAATCAACAAATCGGTGACTTTCGTTTGGGCAAGCTGCACACTTTTGCTCTCGTTTTGCCCCCTGTTTTATTCCTTGTTCGTTTTCTCCTTGCCAAGTAGCGAAACTCGTGTCTTTTAATGGAGCAGCATTCAGCCAGTCTGGGTGGAAAGTTCTCACCCAACTGCGGAAATCGTTAGCTTGCTCAATTCCAGCAGTCTTGCTGATCGAACTGTAGGTTGGGTCATCCTTGTATCGCTTTGTGAAGTCGTAAGAGGCAGATGTGTAGTAATCTGGTGCAATTTGCTTGACTGCTTTCAAGAACTCAGAGACTTGAGTAACTGGATCGCTGAGAGCAGGGATTCCGATTGTTTGGGCTTCATCCATGATTTCTCGATAGATTATGAGCCATCCTCCAAGTTTTGCTCTTTTGATTGATAGCATATGCTTGTTATATCTTTCCAATACCATTTGTTGTCTCCCAAAGTTGTCTGGCGCTAGCTGTTTTTCAAGAGCTTTTATGATATCCCTGACTGTTTGCTCCTTGCTGACTTGGCTGATATAAGTGGCTGCTACAGTGTTCATGATCCAACTGTGAATTTCTAGAAGACTTCGCCGAACCTGGTTGTATTGGTCTTTTTCTTCTTGATAGATAGCTTTTCCATAGCTGATAACGTTGCTATAGTTTGCTCGTTCTTCTTGTCTGAGGTCTTTTGGGTCTGGGAATTCCAATCTTGGCTTAGTATTAATCTTGGTTCCTTTTGGATTCACATAGTCCCAGACTTCATGAACGTTTGCCAGCATCTGTAAGTTGTTGAACCAGTGGTTCCAGTCGCTGTCAGTCTGTAGCCGCTGTGTGTATTTTGCAGTTTCCGTAGTTGAATTCATGATCTCTCTTGAAAAGAGAACTGGTCTCTCTCTTCTGATCGTTGTGCAGTTGATTTTTCGCCGTGGCCAAGATTGAGTTCGTGACTAGACACTTCTTGTTTCAAGTTGGTGATTTTGTCGATTGTTGCCTAGAGGTTTGAGGGTATATAGCCAATCTCAACGCCTCAATTCTCAACAAAACGCAAGACGCCCCCCTTGTCTAATGAACCTGCCGTTTAGTGTAGTTGGTCTAGCCACCCAACTTGTAGCTATTCGCAAGGACCGTAAGACTGGCAAGCTCCCCTTCGTGGGTTCAATTCAGGGTTGTGGAGTTTTCGCAATTTGTAAAAAGTCTTATCGGTTCCGTTACACGAAGACTATAAAGTGAACCACCTGTTCGTCTTATCTGCCCGAAGCTTTCAGAGACATAAAATGAGCAACTAGGTGTCTCTTCCGTTTCGTAATTCCAACCCTCCTGGCTGCGTATCCGTGGTATGGTCGAGCATGAACTTATATAAGGTTCAAGTTAAGAGTCCTGGGTTCAACTCCTCAGATGTGGTAAGTCCCCCTGAGTTGAGATGAACTTTTTGTGATTTTTTTGATAAGTGTTGATGATATGAATTGATGACCAGAAGTTCTTTTGTGATTGAATGTTTCAACACTTCAACGTTCAGCCTTGTGTGATTGGAATTGATGTTTTGTTTGGTGGACTTGACTGCCAAAGTCTCATGGGTCGGTAACTTCGTCAATTGAGTGCCCTTGTCTATGGCATAAGTCTGAACTGCTCCCTTCTGGAAGTCGGTTTTTCAATTGGTAATTGTCACCATGAGGTACTGGGCTCATAACTGTCACGCAGTCAATTTGCCCACCACTTATGGGGTAAAAAAAGATGCTTCCATTCATTAGAGACTGTCTAGGGGTTATTGGGTTGATTATATAACCGTCTATTCGGTAATTACCGATTTGAAGGTTTTCATGCACAAAATGACATCCCCGTTAGTTTTATATGGGAAACAATAGCCGGGTGCATGGGTTGAATGCATGCCCCGATATATGCAGTGGTCCGTGTGACACCTTGCTTACGAGACCTAGACCAACAATACTATTGCTGCTTATGAGATCTAGACCAGCGATACCACTGCTGCTTATTGCAACATTACAAAACATATCACGGTCATCAAAGCAGAAAAGTCGAAATCCAAGCACGTACTAGTTATACCAACAAGGGGATGTAGGCATAGTAAGGCGGCGAGGTCAGGATATAAAATGCTCACTAAAAGCAGCACTTGCTTTTTTCTTTCCCTCACTGCATTGTCACTACAGATTCCCGATCCATCACCATGCTTCTCTCCAACATTATTACCAGCACCGCTTTGCTCATCTCCCTCCCTGGAGTCTCAGCTTATAGCACCAAAAAGTTTGAATGCATTCCAGGACGGCGCGTTTCTGCAGAGGAACAAGCGATCAACTTTTCCAACTTCGTTCAAACACTGTATATTGAAAAGAACGTCTCCCGTGCCTTCAACGAACATGCCCTCGAATCTTACATTCAACACAACCCGCTCATGACATCGGGCAGACAAACTACAATCGACTTTTTATCGTCAGCATTTCCGGGTTGGAACATCACCGTCAAGCATCAAGCATTTCAAGATGACATTGGCTGGATTCACTGGAAGTTGGAGGGATACGGAACAGCGAGATACAATGCTGTGGTAGATGTCTTCAGGTATGAAGATGGCTGCATTGCCGAGCATTGGGACGCAATTCAAGCGGCTCCTGGTGAGGACCGCGTCAACCCTCTCGAATTGATTTGAAACTCCTCGAGGCAGGCGTATTGCGCGTCAGTTGTGGCTACCAGCATCGAGAATCGAGGGTCAACGTTTCGACATAGCAGATTCCTTAGTCATTGTACATACATACACGGTCTGCGCTATTATTATCATTCAAAAGAAAGAATGTGTATCCATAAGCTGAACTTCTCGCAAGGACACGTCCTAGAAACTCTCGAAGCATGGAATGGAGCCCAAAGAAGCCCAGCAGAAGGCAACACACCTCGAGTGATTTTCGTTGGCAATGGCTTAATGAACACAACAATGGCCTGTGGTATGAGAGGATGCTTCCAATCATGATGCCGACGAAAGGGTGGCAGAGTTTTAAGGGACATGTATGTGTACTCAAAGAAGCCACTAGGAAACGTGGGGATTTACTGCCCAGAACATTTGACTCTAGCTGAGCGCCGCAATAGTGTACAGATTGCTCAATCCAAATATTTTCCGAAGGATTGCAATGATCATTAGGTGTTATACACATGTATTCAATGTAAAAGCTGTGCATGACATTATGAGCAGTCAGTCAATGAGTCTCGCCAATCGGAAGTTGACTAACGCTGTATGTACTAGGGAAATATGAATGAAGCTGAATTTCACAACTCTAATAAAATCGACTCAACTTGAGATGTCACAGCAGTTGCACAATCTATCATACGGTTGTATGTAGGTCACAGCGGGACTTAAATAAATTCCCGTCCTCATGAAAGCTTGCACGAGCGTCATAGATTTCCACTTGCAAGAGCTGAAATTCTCTGAGACCTCGCTCACACTAATCGGGACCGAGCCGGCAATCTTGTCAGTCTCAGGGCGACAATGAAGGCAACTTCTATCGAGGAACCAAAACTATCTAATGGCTGTAAGAAAGGTTTACATGAACTGGTGTCAGAAATGTCACAACACACTAGCGATACGAGCTATTGACAAGATGCTTCGAAACACGCTTCGAAACACATTAATTCTCTGTGTAGCATTATACTAAGACAGCATTAGGTGCGCGAGTAAGTCTCATCACTCTATGTAACGGCAATTAACTATTCCTTCACTAAGTTTCTCAAACCGTAATCCAACGCGTCCTGCACTACTAATAGACATAAATAAAGTTAGGGTTCTCCTTGTCCGTCATATCTGTGAAAGCAGTAGCATTCAGCTCGTCGGCAATGTAGTTGCCGCTTGCACGCAACGCCTCGCGCTGCTTCTCCTTGCGCTTGTTCTCCCAGATAAAGGCATAGCGGAAGACGAAGAAGAGACAGAACTCAATGCAGTTTGCAACCAGAAGCGAGCCGATGCCAAGGTGGTATGAAGGAGCTTGGTTGGTCTTGTAGAAGAATGGGCTAGCAATGTTACCGATGCAAGCGCCGAACCAGATCATTCCGGAAACAATCATCTTCTTGGACTGCCCACCAGTGTTTGAGGTGATGAGAGAAAGAGATAGAACGAAGGACGCCTGGTAAGAGCCGGTAAGATAACTAATGATGTGTTAATGAATGCCTGTGTGTATGAGGTAAGTCAAGTCAAGGACAAACTCACAAGCAAATCAAGCGGCCAACGTAAGCATTAGCCGGCGCCAGAAGGAAGCCAAGAGCGCCTCCGATGGTGGGCAGCATGAATAAAGCGCAGACAAGCGTTCGGCTGTTGGGGGGCAGGTACTTGTTCGCCAAGGCACCAAGACCGATCCAAATGACGACAAGCGCGCCTTGGGGAATGCCAAGTAGAGCCGTCTCGAGCGTCCCGAAGCCAAGGCCTTTAATGACCAGGGTGGAAAAGTTGGAGATGCCGCCGTTGGGGATGTTGGCCATGAAACCCAGCAACGTGAAGAGCCAGGTCTTGTAGTCGAGGAAGGCCTCCTTGATCTGGCCCCAGTTGATTTTGCGCTGCTCGATACCTGTCTGGTTGCGGCGCATTCGGGCGATCATAATAAGCTTCTCTTCATGAGTGAAGCCCCAGATCGTGCGTGGGGAGTTGGGGAGGCAGAGGACGAGGATGATGGCCCAGAAGGAGCAAAATGCGCCGACAACCAAGAACTCGTAGCGCCATGATGCCAGGGCGCCTTTGATGTTACCAATACCGTAGCCTATTCTCTTACTGTCAGTTTACAATCAAAGGTAGAAAACCGCACATGGGCACGAACCGATAAGACCTCCGCCGGCAACTCCGATGCCGTTCCAGGCATACCACGCCGAAATTCTCGACGGCTGTTCGCTTCTCGTGTAATACATAGAAGTTATAAGCATAAATGCAGGGTCAGCAATAGCCTCGAAGGCTCCTGAAAGAATTCGGAGTGATAGGAGCCCGGCAAAGTTCTTCGCGGCGGCTTGGGCCATGAGGAGGGCACCCCACATGAAGATGTTGAAGGACAGGTACCATGCAGGACGGCAGCGCTGCATTATCAGGTTGGAAGGGATAGCCCAGACAAGCCAACCGAAGTAGAAACTGCTTGACAGCCAAGAGTACTCGTCGCCTTTGAGGTCGAGACCTTCTTTAAGTCCGAAGATGGCAGCGTATGATCTAGTACATCAACTGTCAGTTGAGAACAGTGACTATTAACAAGACATCGGTAGAAACGCACAGTGTGGTCTTGTCGACATAGTAGAAAAAGTAGCAGATTCCCAGCAAAGGAATTATTCGCATGTCCAACTTGCGGACGAGCCTTTTCTCCTCGGCCTGGTCGATAGACTCATCGTTCGGATACCGCGCTAGGGCCTCGAGGTAAATCTCCGGGTGCTGCTGTTGAACGTCCTCGCCCTCAACATGAGGCTTGTGAAGGTCCTGCTCAACGTGTTCGACATCGCTGTTGCGGCCCTTGGCATCGGCCAAAGCCGAGGCGTTGTCGGCCATGGTGGTTTGCTAAAATTGACAAGATGACGGCGAACGGCAAGCAGTCAACACAAATATGATGGTATCCAGCTGAGTTTGAATATTTTGGAGATGACAAAACCAACCCACGAAGAGAAAAGAGGTGTAGTCGAGGGAATTGACAGCGCGGGATACCCTTACTCAAATATTTCGTATTTTTGGGAACAAGCGCTTGTAACATCCTTAAAATGCCCAAAGGCTGCTTTTACCGATCATTCGGTTTTCGGTCAACTCCCGTCGGAGATCAATCTTTGTGGCGCTCCTTGGGCTTGCTGGACAAGCCAAGCAAGCTTTCGCATCCTCCACACACCGTCCACCCTTCCCCACGGGACCAGTCACATAATGGCGTAGGTGACGGGTCCCTGAGTCGTGTGTTGGACGCGGGGTACGTGGGGATCTGCTAAGCCGAGTAAGTGGACGTTAGCACCGGACATCGGAGCGTTAACAGGCTGCTTTGTCGGCTGCAATGTCATGATAGGAATTGTATTTCGTGTGTCAATCAAGCTGGAATTTTGGTAAGTACGAAATCCTTTGGGACTTTCTGTCTTGCCATCTCGGTTTCGCTTTTGCTTCCTTTTGCAGACTTCAAGATCAGCGCTTCTGATTGCCTGTTACGTGCTTCCAAGCTCTTGATAATCAAAGGTCGGATAGCGTCCACTCCACTATCGCGGGGTTCCCGCCGCTTTCTCGCGTCTCCGGCTTACTGCCCTTGGGGAGAACTCGTGGAGCAGGCCGGGGGTGTGGGTGAAAGCCCACACTATTGCGGGGTGCCCACCACGCAGTACTAGTTTATGAAGGGCGCGATGATGTATTAACAGACGGTTCACGAATTCTGACTGGTGGAACATAATTGTCCGTCTTCCTTCCGGAAACGGGGCCGGGTAGTGAGGCTCAAGGCCAAGACCGGGACTTTGCTTGGCTTCCACCGTTTGTACTTACAATTATCCTATCCAGCAAGTCGGTATCAGGACTGCAAATCCAAATATGGTGATATTCGCCTAGGAGATAGAAGAACCGATGTCATTAATCTTGGTCTGATCACGGCTTCTTATTACCCTCCATCGCCAAATCTGCAATTTCTGAAGTTGGCAATGGTCTAGGAATCAGCAACAGAACTACGAAATAGGCCACCTTACACAATCGATTGAAGTTCATCCTTGCAGATTTGTTTCGTAGTCCCGAAGAATATGCTTACCCTAGTGTACTGCCGACTGCCTGTTATTTGTGACTAAATTGATAAATCCCGGGATCGGACCCTGCAGGATGGGGACACACACGCGTGTAAGGAATCCAGGTTCTTGGAACACGCAATCAGCTCGTTATTACTCAGGCTAACAGCTTCTTTTGATATTGAGCGGGTCCAGTGCGTCTTTTTCGGCACGATGATCATTGCATTTGCAGGGTTGTAATGCGAAGCGTAACACAAAATCGTACAACCTTTTATTTCTCCGAGGCCTCCTCGTGTCCCAAACAAATTTGCATATATCTAACCTCTAGCTAGTTTAGTGCCATTCTTACTAAGACGGTCAAAAATCTTTGAAGAAGCGTTGGCCCCTAAACGGAAGGGCGGCTTTTCCATATTCGTACCATTGGTGTTGGGGCCCAGAATCCTTCTCGTCACGATAGTTGGCTGCCTCCTTGGCTGGTGTCTGCCAGCACTGCTTCCCTAGTTCGAACTTGAGTATTTCATCATACATAGTGTCTATGAGCTGTTCTCACGTTTGGTGAGCTTTTACTCCCGATCCCAGTCATTTACGCTAGCGTTGCCCCCTGAAAGCCACATGACAAAATGATGGGATGTGGATTTCTTGCGATAGCCAAAACCATCCCACACCGGGTCCCGAAGTAGTATACTAAAGAAGGTTCAACAAAATTGGGTACTGTGTATATATAGTGCGGGAATCATTTACACACTGCTTACAAACGCTGGCTAACATCTGTCTTATCACCTAAATCAGCAAATAGATCTATGTATTTACCATCGCTTCTTTCTCTTCGGAACATCTACCTATTGCTTGCACTCTAATAACATTCATCTTAACTATTAGCGTTTCGATATGTAAACTTACTAATATGACTTCACAACCTCCCAAAGCTTCGGAGCTGAAGAGTAACAGCGTCGTGCCGTAACCAGCACTTAGCATTTCACGAAGCCTGTGCTATCATACAGATTACATGTTTGGAGAGTGCACCTCGGGTCTGAGAATGTAAAGAATTATGACAAGGTGAAAGCTGAGTGTCGATGATGGGGTCAAACATGGGCGGTTGGTCTACGACGTACAGTGGGTCGAGTTAGTACTTGTTGAGTTTGTTTTCATTCCGAAAAACCCGTTGTCCTGTCTGGTCCGTGAACGATTCGTCGAACATAACTCATGTGTTCATAAAAGACGAACTTGGACATTTTATCAAAAGTACCTATCAATCTACTGCGAGTACACGCCACTGGCCTGGCAGAGATTGGATGGAGCCCTTGCTGCTTAATAGAGGTATGTTATGTTTTTTATAGCTAAGGATGAGCAACTGACTTCTCGACCTAGGATCTAATCTTGCGCGATTATCGCCAAGTTTGGTCTACCGAAGTTGAAATGAAGGTCTGCAATGATCTCGCAGCAGCTGCTTCAAGTGGCTTGCAGGAGGGTAACTAGGAGACGCCGACTACAACCAACGCGCTGGTCAGTGAGAATGAGACGGAGAAGAATAAAAAAGAAGGCTAACAATACACCAGCATCTACCGGTCGCCCAGTTTTCAAGACATGGGATCTTTTACCTTTTATCTGTTTCTCCTGCTGGGGTTATCTAACGGACGTCTCTAAGTTGCTATGCATCAACCGCTGGTCTAACTCTACCAAATAATCTGATACGTGATTAAACGAAAGCTTAAGGAGAAGATACTAAGGGCAATTCATCAAGCAATAAGGCATATAAGCCGTCGAAAAACAAAATCCGGAAAACAGCAAACAAGACAGGGCCTAGTCCGACAGGCGGCATACCTAAAAAGCCTAGAAAGCCTGCCCATCAGTTCTTCTCAGTCATTCAAAAGCAAGACTTTGTGTTGGCTACTTATGTTGAGACCCGATATCACATGTTAGTTCTTCTGAAAGAGGTAGATTGCGAATATCGAAGTCAATAGACCCGCCGAGACACGTTGATCCCATGCTTCAAGGTGTCAGTCTTTCTTACTCATTTCTGATGTCAACCGACAGTTGGGTCTAGTACTTCGTTTTCTCCCCAGTTACAACTTCATACAGCTAATAGTCTACTTTTTTTCTTTGAAAGCAGAATCTTCTGCCACGACTACCATTTTTATTTAACGCTTGTTGAAGAACAGGCGTTAACTACCTCGGGTGCAGACCCAGCAAATGTCAACAGACCCTTTACACCAAGAAGGTTTATGTCATGGGTAACTGGCATAAATACCAATTAGTATATCATCATTATTTGAATAATATTTACGAGTCGTGAAGTGTCTCTTAGTAAGGTTCTGTTGAATAGTGTCTGTTGTTGGGGCGTGACTGACTCGAACTGATAGCTATGTATGACAACTTAGCACAGACAAAAGCAACGAATATCCTTTGCATTCTGCTCTCTAACCTCATAAGGCTATGCGATTACTTTTCTGTACGTTCTGTTGTGGCACGATGGCTTCAGGCAGAGTCAGCATGTGTGACATTGGGCACAGGTAACCTGGGAGGAACCAAAAGAAAGTAATAAGCGCACGAATAGCAGGACTGCCGAAGCATAGTGGAGCCTGGATCGGCTATTCCCCTACACATAATCGGTTAGATACGGAGTAGAGCCCGAACGGCCTCTAACATGGCGGGATTTAGCATCTTACCTTGTTAATCGTCTGCACCGGGTGCATGACGTCTTCTACGGGTTCGCAGATCTTGTTCCATTTGCGTTAAGCTTTCCCACTGCCAAACCCCAAGTCTACTCCGAATGCTGTATTTTGACAGGTCCAAGTAGAGCAAAACCTCTGTACCATCCTGTAATTGGTGATCCTCTGCATAGTCGCTTCGCAATCTCAAATGGTATAGGAAGGAAACAATGAGTGAAATCTCACTTTGGCTCAACATTTGAAGACACCTCGAGTAACCATGAATCCGGCTGATGAAATGATACATTGCCATTCTTTCTTTTTCAACGACTCATCGGGACCTTTCAATCCGACAGACCTGCAGAGCCCCGCTCACGTTGTTTCCACACGCACCAACAAACCAGGTTTGCACACCTTGGCAACAGACGATGGCTTCCCCGCATCCTTATTGGTTTCAGTCGCCGTCATCGGGTTTAAAATTTTTACAATAGAGATCATTCATAAATATTACTCATCTTTTGTTTCTTCCATTTCTCATTCTTATATGCTCGCAAAATCCCATTCGTTTCAAAACAGTGTGAATATAACTCACCTTACAATCCACGCAGGCTGAGTGCGAGCCTTGTAATCATGTCGTCTTCTGGAGTTGCCAAGCTTTCGGGCCGGCTTGGCAAATATAACGTTGCCAACAAGCTTTACAAGAGCTCGCTACTAAACACAGTATGCTTAGTGGCGGGTATCTCCATCTTCTTTTTCGGCTATGACCAAGGATTGATGGGCGGCGTCAATACCGCACGCGACTATGCAGAACTAATGGGCTTCGGTCATTGGGACGAAGAGGAGCAACTCGTCGTTGTTGATAAACCACTCCTCCAAGGAGGAATTGTAGGTAACACCGTTCTGTTTTCTGGTTTACTAGCTAACTCTCTCCATCAGGTTGCCGTTTATTATCTTCCTGGAACCCTGGTAGGATGCTTTTTTGGAGGCTGGTTTGGCGACCGCTATGGCCGCATCACTACTATCGGCGTCGCCTGTATCTGGTCCATCTTGACTGCAGCTTTGCAATCTGCAGCGCAAAACTCAGATTGGATGTTTTGTGGTTCGTATAAGCTATCGGATGTCTTGTACTTTTTGAAAACAGTAATTGACGGTAACAACAGCACGAGTCTTGAACGGTATTGGCACAGGCATCTTGAATGCCATCACACCCGTCTGGGCCACGGAAACGGCTGCCCACACTTCTCGTGGACAGTTTGTCGCGATTGAGTTCACTCTGAACATTTTCGGTGTGGTTGTCGCATATTGGCTGCAGTTGTAAGGTCATAAGTAGAGCCGCCGAGTGGAGAGCTACTAACAGCAAACCAGTGGTACTTCAAAGTACAAGGACCCGACATCGTCGTTCATCTGGAGATTTCCAATTGCCTTCCAGATCGTTCCTCTCATTGTACTTTTCGTCATCATCTGGTTCATGCCTGAGTCACCCAGATGGCTCGTCAAGGTTGGCCGAGAAGAAGAAGCCCGTTTCATTCTGCAGCGTCTACGAGGAACCGAGGGGGAAGACGCCCAACTCGCCGAGTCAGAACTTCAGGACATCATCAACACCAGAAACATGGAAGACAAGACATCGAAACAGCAGAGCTATTTTGCAATGTTCTTTGGCATTGGCTCAGGTAAACTCCATACTGGTCGCCGGGTTCAGCTCGTTATCTGGCTTCAGATTCTACAAGAATGGATCGGCATTGCGGGAATCACCATTTATGGTCCAACAATTTTCACCATTGCCGGCATTAGCTCTGAGCAACGCCTTTGGGTCAGTGGAGTAAACAATATCACATACATGGTAGGTGTCATCCCATGTGAACTGCTTCCCATACGGATGGCTGAACAATCTAGTTTGCAACTCTGATTTGTGTTTTCACACTGGACCGTATTGGGCGTCGCTGGACGTTATACTGGGGCTCGGTCGGTCAAGCGATTTGCATGTTCTGTGCCGGTGGCCTCGCCCGCGCAACCCTTGACGCTTCTCCCGGCAACCGGGCTGGACTAGGTGGCGCCGCAACCTTTTTCGTTTTCCTCTTTACAGCTATTTTCGGAGCCACGTGGCTTACTGTGCCATGGCTTTACCCTGCTGAAATCTTTCCCTTGCAAGTACGCGCCAAGGGAAATGCTTGGGGCGTAGTTGGGTGGTCGATTGGTAACGGCTGGACGGTAAGAAGACTTACTCCCTGAAGACCATGAACTATGTCCATTAACAAGTATTATCGCAGGTCCTCCTGTTACCGACCATCTTCGACAAACTTAACGAGAAGACATTATACATCTTTGGCGGTGTAAATGTTGCCTGCATTTTCATCGTCTGGGCGTTCTATCCCGAATCAAACCAAAGAACACTGGAGGAAATGGATCTAGTTTTTGCTAGCGACAGCATATGGACTTGGGAAGCTGAGAAGAACTTTGCCAGACTAAAGGCTGAGAACCCTGATTTAGTTCAAGCGGCAAAGGCAGGACATGGGGCTGTTGATCCTGAGACTGGTATTTTGTCACGCGGGGGGTCTTCACATATTTCTGATGGTGAGAGACAGACACAACATGTCGATCCGGATAAGAAGTAGGAGCATTCAATTCGGAGGCTTCAAGAAGCGCTGCCGAAAGGCGAGCTCTGGTCAAGAGTGTTGTTTTCAAAATGTCTGAAAAGACGTATGGCACACGCGCACCATCTGTTGAAAAGGAGAAACAGGATTTCTGTGGCGGAGTGGATAGTTAGTATTCTCAGCAAAAAATTAATGAATTAACCTCCGAGACAATTTCTGCCAGACTTTCAGGCCAAACCTAAGCTGTCAGTCGTTTGCTGGAGTTCAATTCGACTTTGTAAATGCCGACAACTAGACAATCGCACTGCTTCGAATTTGAATCTCGTACATGCTATAATCCAAGTCTGCCATTTTTCTCAGGTTTAATGGTCTCCGTCCTTCATCTATTGACTAGGTGCTGGTATTTGAGAGCTTGGCAGAATATTCTAACAAGTGATTCTTGTTGCCAAGAGTGATGCGATGCGTCTGCCTGAAGACCTGAAAGTCACTTGAGGCGGTGTCCCGAAAATTGATCATAACATAAGTGCTGGTAAGCACTGAAACAGAGTTGAAATCAATTGGGACCGTTGCTACTAATATATAATTTAATATGCTCGGTGGAGATAATGTACTAGCGATCATCCGCGGGGATTATCTACATCCATTTGAAGAAGATGCAAGCCCCTCATTCCTCCATCAACCCCGCGCAACGGGCTTCATCACAGGAAATTCCCCCAATCAAGAGCAATTCCACTTGAGAAGAGAGCTTGTCTCCGTCAACCATGCCCTCTATTGACCCGACTTCGACGCTATTATTCCTTAGCTTGAGCCAGTATAAATACATGCCATGACTCAAATATCCGCATCTCCTAGCAGAAAAAGGGAAATTCCTTGGGCAGACAGAAAAGCTCAGGTTCAGAGCTTCCTTCTCTCAAATCCAAGACTTCGTGATGTATACCCTCAATTTGCGGTCACTTCCCACCGCCATTGGGGCACTTTCAATACTTCAATGGCTTCATCCTGTCGCTGCTGTACCTCCACCGCCAGACACCTTGTGGGGGATATCACCACCCCTCGACTATAGCGATGTTCTCTACGCAGGCTGGGACCCGATTCCAGTTGAGAAGGAAATTCAGATATATAATGGAGTAGCTGAGAATCGCACTTATGCTCACCACCCGGAGCTTTTTGCTGTCGGCTCAAACGTCTTTCTGATTTACTCCTCTGCCCCTGTGGATGAGGACAGCATGGGCCAAGACGTCTGGATTTCGACTTCAAAGGACAGCGGCCAGACTTGGAGCCCGGGTAAGAGCCTCATGCCGGCCGCATTACTTCCCAATCAGACAGAGACATACAATTGGAAGTACTGGTGCGATCGTGGTATCGCTCAGCGCGCATGGCAGGCTCTATCTTTCGTGCACTTTGAAGACGGCGAGCTATATGCAATTGGACAGTCTGGGAGCCGATGGTGTCCGGGCCGGTGGATGACGGCTGGTCGCATTGCTGTCAGGATATCTCTCGATGGAGAACCGCTTGATGATCCCTGCTGGTTGGAGAAGAACGAATACACCAAATCGCAACTGTATGTGGAGACTGTTTACGGCACCAAATACGGCATGAAGAACTGCCCTCGAGCATGTCAGATCAATGCCGTCTTGCGCAAGCCAGATGAGGCACCTGCATGGTCACCGTGGCTGTACAATAATGGACTCTACGCCGCTGACGGCAAGCATCAGATGGAGGAGCAGACTTTCGCCGTTTGGCACGATGACAGTGACTCACCTACTGGAGGATATTGGCAACGTCACTGGCGGGACATCACTACTGAAAAGGATAACACGCACTCTGTTTGGGTTGAGTACAACGAAGATGTAAACGGCGAAGGATGGTACCCGAAGGTGAAGAATCAGACCGGGAACAAGATCTACCAGACCAATATTCGTGACGCCAAGACGAAACAATTCCTTGGGCAGATCGACGGCTCTGGCGACAGATTTCTACTCTCGAATCCTCGATACAACGCCGCAGACCCTCAACGCCAGCCATTGACACTTGCTGTCTCGCGAGGGAAGGATCAGACGTATAGAGCAATTGGTGTCTTGCGTACCAATGCGACAAAGGAGATTGTGCCAGATACCAGAGATGGAATCAAGAATCGTGCGCATGGATTCAGCTATCCAACTGCTGTGCAGGTGGGTGACAAGTTGCTTGTCGCCTACAGTGAGAATAAGGAAAATGTCTGGGTTAGTATAGTTGATATCGCTGCGCTGCCAAAGGAGGGGGACGGTAAGCAGTAAGATTAATTGAGTAGGAACATTGCATCAAAATAGGACATTAAAATATAGTCTTGGATAACTTTGATTCTAACTGGTTATCTGGTATCTCTCTTCGTCATTTCAATCCTTGACTCGCTCTTGGCAATGCGAATCAACACCAACGAGGAAATCAGTTGTATTTCGGTACCCCTAACGGTCGGCTCCATGGCGCTGACTGGCCATGACAGATGCTTGCCATCAATTTGCGCCACACTTTGGAACTTTTGCTGATCCGTTTTGGCAACATAAACATCCCGTAGCGGTAGAATGACGTCGAAGACAAAGCTCGGAGGCTTCGGGCGCCGCAGTTAAGCTTAATTTTGGGGCCAGTTCGAACAAATATGTTTGATTAAGTAATTCGGATCTGGCCGCGGAATACAAATTCCCACTGTCATTAGTAAACGGCTACTTTCTGCAGCACCACTGATGTCATACATATAAAATAGAAGCTTAATTCTGTGAAAAGAATATTGTCGACAACCAATTTCACGGTATCGATTGATTACTAAGTTCATCTGTCCGACATTAGCTAACCATCCGACAACATGCCGGAACGACTACTCTTCACTGGCGCGACTGGCTTTGTGTAAGTTGAACAAGCAGGGAAATATTCCAATTGCATAGTAACTAATACTTAATATAGCGGCGGCACAGTCCTCTCACAGCTGCTCAACTCTTCTTTTCCGGAGATCAAAAACTTGCAAATCACTGCGCTTGTTCGAAAGCAAGAACAAGTTGATCTTTTGAAGCAGAGAGGTGTAAACGCCGTCCTGTTCAACGGACTGGATGACTCTGAACAGCTGAGAAAGGCGGCCAGCGATTTTGACTATGTCATTCATGCCCCAACTGGCTTTCATACCAGTTCGGCCGTCGCACTCATTGAAGGCCTAGGAGAGAGGAAGAAGCAGACTGGCAAAGAAGTTCACTTCATCCACGTAGGTAAATGTGACTCTTATCGCCAATTCATACCTAACTATCAGCATAGACATCCGGGACCTCCAACCTTGCCCAGCGCACCATAACCAAACCAGCCGGTGAGGTTCATGAATGGTCCGACAAAGAGAAAGTCTTTGAATTCGAGGAACAGAAGGAGGCGGAGGAAGCATATGCGCAGCGTACGACCGACATCGCTGTTGTAAAGACAGGAGAGCGTACAGGTGTCAAGACGTACATCATGATGCCACCGACCATCTATGGTCGAGGAACCGGCTTCTTCAACCAAGGGTCCATGCAGATCCCCAGCATCATTCGTGCATCCATACAAGCTGGTGTCCCGCGATATGTTGGTGACGGCACGTGCCGTCTTGGTCATGTCCATGTCACGGATCTCGCGCTGCTATATGAACTGATCTTGAGCAAGGTCTTGGCCGGTGAGGAGCTTCCGTCCGGTCGGAGGGGAATCTACTTCTCCAACACCGGTAGTCACAATTGGCGCGACCTGGCGGTAATGGTGGGGAAAGCAGGCGTCAAGCTTGGTGCTTTGAAATCTGCGGAACCGGTGCCCCTAACGCTCGAAGAAGCTGCTTCTGAATGGTTGAAGACAACCCCTCAAGTTGTTGAGATGAACTATGCAGCCAAGTAGGTCCAACCCTGTTTCAGAACCCCACCGTCAAGCAAAACAGATACTAACCAGTGAAGCTCTGCGACTAAACCGGTTTTAGCTACTGAGCTAGGCTGGAAGCCTAGAAAGACGGAAAAGGACTGGGAAAACTCTTTTGAGGAAACGTTTCAGATGGTCCTTGACGAGAAGCAGCGTTAGAAATTGCCATCAGTAGGGCAATGTTGATAGAGAAATGTACTCTCTAATGCTATCATAAACCTTTGTCCGTAGTACTTAATAAACCAATGGGAGTTTTTACCCACGCTATACCTGTTCTCCAATATCGTCATAATGCCATGCTTCTTCCCTCGCTACATTTAGTATACATACAAGTTCGTAACTCCATTGTTCGCAGCAAGCATCTTGCGGTTTTGCCTTTGCAACGCAATACGCATGACCCAAGCACAGACCACCACACCGAGTGAGAAGCCGATACTGGCCAACATGGCCTTCAGGTATCTTGGCTCATCGGAGTCAGGCCACAAGTAGGGAGTGTAGACACTGGCGAGGTTGCCAAAGGTGTTGCACATGGCAATGGCAACAGCCTTCTTCTCATCAGTCTGACCCAGCACGGACGCGGTCCATCCAAGAATGATGTTGTTCACGCCGTAGGTGGCGCCGACGAAGATCATAATTCCGACGTAACGGACAGTGGTGTTCAGGGTTGCCACGCTCATAGCAAAACCAGCACAGGCGATAAGCTTGCTGACGGTTGTGTGCCAGGTACGCTCGTTAAAGCGACCCGAAGAGTGCGAGACCAGGATACTGAGGATACCGGCAAGGATGTAGGGGGGGCACGTCAAAACCAGGGTGATGGTCGTGTTGTACTTCAGAGTCTTGACGACACTTGGCAAGAAGTTCTTGAAGCCGTTCGCCGACAGATGCATGTTGTCCATGAGGCAGAATACCCAGGTGCGCCAGTCAGTGCAGGCCTCGCGCAGACCCTTCCAGACACTGCTTCCGCCTTCGCGGCGGTCGGTGGTGTCATCGAAGATACGCTTGTGAGCCATCTGGCGTTGCTCCTCGGTGAGCCAGCGAGTCTTGAGAGGGGCATCGGGGAGGAGATAGAAGGCAGCCAGGGCAACGCCAATAGAAACAGCTCCCTGGATAATGAAGAGCCTAATTGTGGTTAGTCTCGTAGAAGTAATGGTATTTGATGTTTGGCTTACCATTGCCAACCTGCGAGGTTGTGCTTTCCGTCCAGACCAGCAAAGACACCGGCAGCAATCAGGCCGGAAAATGCGCTGGCCACCATGTTTCCGGTGTAGAAGACGGCCATGCGGGTAGCAATCTCCTTACGTGTGTAGAACATGCTAAGCATGTACAGCGCTCCAGGATAAAACTAGGCTAATGTCAGCTCATGCCCATCTATGCAACCCTAATCAACGCCAGTGTGGGAGATCCTTACGGGAGCTTCAGTAATGCCAAGCAAGAACCGAAAAACAAGCATCGTCTTGAAGTCATGTGCCAGGTACGTGAGGAGGGAGATGATCGACCATGCCAACATGAAGCCTGCGCACACCCTTGGTCAGAATTGAATGTATCTCATAAGGGGACCTTGGCACACATACCAGCCATGTACCAAGATGGTCGCACTCGGTTGAGAATCATGTTGGAGGGCACCTGGCCACACAGGTATCTACCGATGTTTAGTCTAGTGCGGTTGAGCTGCCGATGAAACCCCAACTTACCCGACAAACAGGATAGAAACACAGGTGTTGTACTCGCTGCCCTTGAGCTTCAAGTCCTTCGTGAGAGAGTTGAGCTTGCCATTGATCATGGCATTGCGGTCGAGGAAGTTCAAACTGGAGAACCATTCGTTAGTCCAAGCTGCCGGCGCGCGTTTTCAAGGCGATTGAGATAAACTTACAAGTACATCACCCAGAGAATGGGCTTTCATGAGCAAACCTCGTCAGTATAGGTACCGCGTGAGGGGAACGTGCCAAGACATACCAAAATGTACAGGTCAATCTTCTTGACAAGGGCGATTTCCTTGGGGTCGGTCTTGGTATGCGCACCAAACTCGTCCACCTTGCCATTCTGGTTGGGCTTGTCGACGTCGCCAAGAGAGCCAGCAGTCATGACACGCTCCATTTGGCTGACGTCCGGCTTGCCCTCCTCAGATTTTCTTGGCTCTGCCATTGTGGTGTTTCGAATATCTCCCGCAGCAAAGAATGTGAGGGGTGTTGTCTGTCGTTGGATAATCTGTTCAAACACCCGGCCGAGTCGAGGTCTTATGTTAGATGAACGAGAACCTGAGAGACCGGCTGTTAGTAAGAACGTGTTCGTCCGTGCAGAACCTTCATATATACCAAAGCAAAACTAAGCCGAGCTTCTCCCTGGTGCTCTCCGCAGTCTCCGCCGAAGTCGCGATAAAGGACCACATCTACGTGGAGCCCCCCATGGGGGAGGAGATGGGGAAGACGGGGCGCCCAGCTTTTCCGTTCGTGCGGGGTTTGGGGAATGTGACTGGGTGTTTGATTCAAACCCTGCGCTAGCCCCGACATGGTAAACCCCCCATGCCCTGTGGCTTGCAGGGTTATGTCGTATCGGAAAACCATCCTTTAACAAGGAGCCCTGCTAGTTGTGTCTTTGAAGGGCAGGTCGTTTGCTTTTCCGTCCTTGCTTGGGAGGCGACAAAGTATGGTGGAGAGGACCATGACGAGGGCTCACCGCAACGGAAAAGCACACGCGTAAAGGAGGATGGTATGTGGGGGATCAGACCAGATCTGTACTCCTATCCGAGGCATGATTTGATTTATAATTACGCCTCTCGTCCTTTCAATCTGCTCTGGCACTCTAGCCGGTCTTGCCGTGGAAAAGCATCGTCTCCGCCTTATATGCAGTCAGTCAGTCAACTAGGCACAAATCAACACTACACAAGCCGACATCTCTGCGCTAGTTCATGAACCACGTGGGGTAGTGGAACTCAAGCCGGCGACTACTGCGCATGTCAGCCTCCTCATCAATGGACATTGTCTCTTTAGGGTCACACTAAGCCGATAGGAAAACAGCTAATACCCCTTGCGAAGCTATCGTCACTATCGCGCCCTCTGACGTGAACCCACACACGGATAAACACGGGACCACTTTTCTCGCGAATGTGAGATCTAGTCCGGGAACTGTGGGCTGAAGGAAAAGCACAACCTTAATCAGAGGTCATTTCTTCTCCATGTCATATCCCTATCTAGTTCCCGAACGGTTTGTATAAGAGTCGATTGGTCTGACAATTAATCGCGTGAGGCACATGATGACGGAATTACTGGTTCAATGCCTCAAAAAAACCAATGTTTGTTCATTGTCTCGGAATTGATAATTTCAAAATACGATTGATGACCTGCCTTTCTCGCCCTCAGGGATTGACTCTTTGAAGTCGTCACGATGACCATTCGAGTCGTGGGATTGCGGCTTCGAGGGCTCATTTAACTCGGCGCAAGCCCTAGCACCTCTCAAAGGTCTAGTTTTATCTATTCTTCAACGGCATAAATGATGTGAGCTGCGATGTGTCCCAATCTAAGTCGACATGCCTTAAGGAACACACGACCGAAAATGGCAACCGCGGCTTCATTTATAGTCAAAGAACGTGAATCCGTAAGAAAACAAAAGGAGTGAATCATGACAACACGACCGCAGAAGGTCTCAAGGTCAACTACTCAGAACGTGCATGCCACGCATTCAATACAAGACGCGACAAGGTAACAGCAACATAAATGTAAATGAGTAAACACATATCTTTGGCAATGAATAGGTGATTAAGTTGAGTTGAAATCTACTTAGAGAACCGTCACCAAGAGTCCTTCCAATAGAACGGTGAACCAATGTTGTACTTGTTGCCCATCAGGGAGAATTAAAGAAGCTCTCGGCTTAGCTTCAAGGTAAACAGGAGGTTCAGAGGACGCTCTGTAGAAGTGTTCATGACCACCTTTACCTGATCCTGTTTTTCTCCACTTTGTGTAGTCTCAATGAGATTTTCTTCGCATAATGCCTCGTGTTATCCTAGTGGCGTAACATCGCTAGTTATAACATAATGATAAATTACCGACAACCCCTTGTTCCTTGCTTGACTTAACCCTATTCTTGACTCATGTACAAGGGGTCCTGCATGGCTTCGGCACACTACCGAACCATTCATAGAAAGAAGACTAATGTTGCTTGAGTGTCCAACGAAGATGTTGGAGAAGGCAAGAAAGGGGGCCGGAGGGAGGGGGCCAGAGAGGGGGTTGCACAAGTAACGACGCAAACAGCTATCAGAGAATTTCACTTTTACCAAAATTCTATGCCTTCATGTACGGTTCAATGATTGATAACAATTTTACAACGGAGGCCGCATGGGTACACAACTGTAGAGCGGAAGTCTCCAACGACGCTTACCCATATCAGCTCATTCGTTTAGGATTACTTTCATGACCATTAGTCACGGTGGCGCTAGTGTTGCGGTAATGACTGTATTTCTAACTTAATGCAAGAGTCCCACAGACCAAGTCACCGAATTCATTGATATCGTGTCACCGCTGAATCTGTGCATGATTTCCTTCATAGGTGCGTGCCTTTAACTACACTCAAAACTCGCTATGAACCATGACCTCAAAGTAAAGATGGAGCCATATCATTGCTCTTCAACCTATTGGCCCCTACTTGCACTTCCAGTAAGCGGTGCAAGCACCACCCTGGCCGCAGAAAGTGTAGTCGTACTTGCAAGAACAGGAGTTGCAAGTCTTTGGTGAGGTCGCACTAGACCTGCAAGTCTGACCACAACTGGCCTGGCGCTCCTGAAGGCCGCGAGCGGGGTTGGGAGAGAGGAAGTCGAGACCGCCCACCTGGGATGCCTTGGCGCCAGCAATTAAGGAGTTGTAGTATTCAGGCTGCTCTTTTGAAAAAGCACTTCCAGGAGAGGCATCCACGTAGACACATTGGTCGTCGACAGTGGTCGCGTAGAGCCCCTTGGGACCGGCGATTGGGAGCTCTGCGTTCTTTACGGCGAACAGAGTGTCGAAGGAAACCTCAGTGCATCCTTGGTTCTCCCACGCATCAGCGGCAGCTTGAGTAGTGAAGAAGGCAGCGGTAATGGCCGCAAGACTGAGAGATTTGGCAAACATTTTGATAGTTGTGATGGCTTTGTGATAGAAGAATGGGAATGATTTGTAGCTTGAATAAAAATGTATAGTTTAGTCTTTTAGTCCGATACAACACGACTTTAATATTGGGCTTTTTGTACTTCTTGTAAGAGCACTTATGATTCAATGTATTTTTTATTCGCAACAATCTATTGCAACCCGGCTTTTTGGTCTGATACTTCATATTCTTTCTTGGAAGTGGGAGATCTAGTTCCGTTGGAAGGTTTTGGCATGGCGCAACTGTCCAGAAAGCACCTCCTACCTTGATTGACAGTTTTCCAATTGTCTCACATGTCGATGTATACGAAAACCCTCACGCCAGTCTCAAGGCAACTGTACGTACGACAATAGGCTAAATCTAGATTGCTTCCCTATAGGTGTTGATCATTCAATCAAAACTAAACGATGGCAACATTCCTTACGCGCTGTTCAATGATAGCCAACGAATCCCGTTCGAAGGATCATGGATGGCTTCACCTCTCCGCCTAAACTGTACTCGAAATGCTACCATTGTGCCAATCTCGGCAGGAGCCTTCACAAGCGAGTTCTCCGAATCCTTCAAATTGGGACACATCAAAAGCCACTAAGCCAATGTTAGAAAGAGAGCCTAAACAGGCATATGAATCGAAAAATACAGTCAGAGCACGTTGCCTTTACCAATATCTGACTACTCTCCATTAGCCACCGGTCCGATAAACCGCTCATCCTTCTAGGTCTCCTGGCGGAGTTGATATCCCCCAGCCAGCTATTATCTTCTAGGGTCTGTCTTATAGACACAGCTCCTCAATCCTTCGCAGCCGACGTGACACAAAATTGCGGTACCCATGACACTTTGGACCATGGTTTCAAGCTATAAGCCTGACAACATCCAATAATGCTGAGGCAAGGCAAGTTAACTCGCCTATAACCCTCCTAGTCTTGTATTCTGACAGGCCTAATCTCACTACCGCGTTCGCAAGGAGCATATGGGATGGCTACCTAGCAAGAGAAATTCAACTACGCGCACACGGTTGAACGGGACGGGAGAGCGCGGGTGATGCCTTGTAAGACCCTAATACAACCCAAGTATGCAGCGTCGCAGGGAGATGTCCAATCGGGCAACTTGGACGAGCAGCGATGTAAAGAGGCTATTCTGTTTATGGCATTGGCGAGATCTATTATATGACCTGCCCCTCAATCCTTCATGTATGTTTTGCCGAAAAAGGAAGTAGCCTGTAACTCTATACTTGAAGATGCTGAGTGATTAGACCACACCGAATCCTTCTTGACTTGGCAAACCAATCTTTTAGGTTGACTTTTAATCCTTCCATAAATCGTCGTTGAAATATGACCAATGCCTAACAGAAAGCTTTCAACTGAAGCAGAAGCGCCAGGTTCAAAGACGCCCCCCAAGTTCCAAGCTTTGCAATGTTCTGGGCAGCATGCATGAGTATCGCATCTGCGTTCTCCAGGGAAATATCTGAAGATTCCAGTGCAAAGCTCAGCGTATTTTTCAACTCTGGCTTGCCAGCGACGGATAGGGCGATCTCTGTTGAGTCAAGATACGTCTTCAGTAACACTCGTTCCTCCTTGGTGCTAGTTTTGACCAACGCCCATAGAACAACGCAATTCAGAAAAACGCCTAATATGCTGTATGGAGTTGCTGTCTGTAACAGAAGGTTGTCCGTTATGGCAGTGATATCGGCAATTGCTCGACCGAAGACACTATTGACCTTGAGATTGTTTCCAGTAAAAGATTGAGGCAATCGATCACTCGATTCTCCTCGGGGTTTCAGATAGTCAGAGGTCATAAGCGGATGGCGAAGATGAAGCCTGAAGCGAGAGAGTGCTTCCTCTACGGCATGAGGCCCGCTTTTTCCGAGGGCATCCTGCAGATCCGAGATAGATATGTCAAGGTGCAGGTGAACCAGTCCAACGAGTACGCCAGATGCCCGACTAAAATATTGGTTTACTCCCCATCTATCGCCTTGACATTCATCGTCTACAGGAACAACTGCACGACCCCAATATTCGAGCGAAGCTTGACAGCCATATTAGCACTTTTTTAGCGGAGAAAGAGCTTATGACATACCGCGTATTTCTTGACGAAGATTAGAGATAGAGAACATAAGTACGTTGTCGAACCAATCTGCACTTTCTTTATTATTTGAGGAGTCGGCATCATCGTACTCATCCACCAACATTCTCGCGGTCGGCGTTGCCCAATCTTGTGAGCAGTCTAATGCTCGACTGGCCAACAAGCTAATGACAAGAAAGACTGTCCATGGATTCGCTTTGAGGCTATTAGGCGGCATGTTCATGGCTTGAAGACTCTTGGCTTTTACATAGAGCGTGATGAGCTTGATGGTTGGTGGATGAGACTCGGTTCCTAGAAGTTTACCCCATTCAGAGGCACCTGGTGCTTGCCAAAATGTTTCTTCGCAGGGGACTTGCCAGTTATGAACTTCAGATGTTGACATCATGCCCCTCATATTCAAGATGGCAGGGAACTGGGAATCAAGCATGAACACATACCAACGTAGACGTCGCCTTGATTCCGAGAGTGCCCAATCTCTCCATCTCTTCCTGGTGTCATTTATGGCGGCATCCGAAGCTTTAATGTGATGCTCTGGAAGGCGCCGAATATATGTGACAAGAGTCCCTCGGGATGCTTCAGCAATTTCAAAGGCCCCTTTGTTCCCACACCATAGTCCAGTGTAGCACATTAACGCATATGAGTATATTATTTGCGGATCTCGTGTCAACCTTCTATCCCTGCTCACAAGATCTTGAAGGTTCTGGTGGGAGCGGTAAAAAAGAAGAATTGAGAATCGTCGAGTTTGTCGTAAATGGCTGTACGTCGCGCCAATTGCTATCATGATGGAGAGCAACGCGGGAGACAACTGTTTGGTTTCAAGAGTTGGGATATGCAAAACAGGGCTCTGCTCGTAAAACCTTTCAAAGAAGAGGCCCAGAAAAACATTGGCAATTGCCAGGGAAGGCAGAATAAAGTTGTCTGAAGCCGTTCCCTTGCTCTCCAAAAAGTCTTGGATGCCAGTCCATACTGATTCATTAATGTCAAATCTTGGATTGTGATGCCTAAGGAGGTCATGGTCATGGCTGACGAAAATTGGCTGCGTTTGGCTGATCTTCTCGGATGAAGGGTTCCATGCGAAAGCCACGGCATCCTCTTTCGAAGGGACGTTCGGCGGAGAACACGGTCGTGAGGCAATATCGGGGTCTTCAGGGTTGGCGGTTGTTATCGACGTTGCAGTTGGGAGGTGACTTGCAGTAGGCTTATCAACAACTGCATAGCTTTGGATAGCCTCCGACATGCCAAGTGGATTCAGCCAGCTCCAAAGCTCACACCCATCATTGTAAGCTGGGGCGTCGTGCGTTCTGAGATATGCCGCCGAATTGCAGGTATTTGACGCTTCTCTAGCAGCATCGTAAAACTCCTGTGTGAACCACTCGCTCGAGTTGATACACTCTCCGATCTCCCATGAACGGATAAAACTTGTGAAATCGATGTCTGCATCAAGATCGACCGCATCTGATGCTACAGACGGGTCTTTCCTATCGAGTTGTACGCTTAACGTCGATTGCGTTGATGCACCTTGCACTTTTATAACTCCTTCAGGCCGATGGATCTCTGAACTGCCGGATGGGTGGCCAGGAGTCTCCTGAATGAACCGATACTCACTTTTCGCAGAAGGACGTGTTTGATCGCACACAGCTGACGATTTTTCGCCCTGTTGCCGTTGATGGAGTCGCTGGTGTTTCTTCAGCAAGTCACTTCTCGAGAACTCTCGATGGCAGATACCGCAACGATGTGCTGGGCTGCTTTGATCTAAAGTTTTTGTCACGCTTAAATTAGCCCGTTAACCCATGGCTGGATCGTCTTGATACCTACGTGATTTTTGGTGTCGTTTCAAGTTCTCGACCCGATTAAATATCCGAAGACAGATTGTACAGGGATATTCGCCAGTTCTCCTCCTTGGGGCCATACTTAGAATGACACCCTGAAGCAGTACAGGCTCATGAATGTGTTTGAAGAATCCACGGAGAAGCCGTCTCAGCAAAGGTGGACGTCCTCAAGAAACTGGTGGACACCTGTCCCTTTTAGGCTTTCCGTCCACTTTACCCCACAGAGATGGGTGGACGTACAGCCGTATGAGGATTAGCGCATTGAACTGTCGGATTTCCCGAAGGGGACGGACGATGAAAGTTGATAAACCCCAGGGAGCCGTACAGATAACTAACAGGCTCTCCAGCAGACCTTATCAGAGTACGAAGGGCTTGGTTATTTTTTTATTCCTGAGCCTTTATTTTTTCATCATTTTCACAATGGCTGCTATTAAACCAGAACTGATTGTACCCGAGAGGGTTCTATCTGCGTCAGCCAGTGCTCAACTAGACGCTGACTCGGGGATCTTGACTCTCTGTAACGATCGGCCTTCCGCAACTGCGGTGAACGCCACAATTGTTCTCGATTATGGCCGCTGTATTGGTGGACTCCCTATTTTTACCGTTGATCGTGCAAACGGCCAAGATTTAATAACACTGCAAGTTGTGTACAGTGAGACAATCGAAGGAATTGACTGCGAGACGGGTAAGGCTTCAAGTACCTTACGTTTAAGATGATAGCAGCACTGACCCAGTCACATTAGGCGATGGGCCATTCTTTCTCTTTTCTAACGCCATGGACAGCTATCGCAGTGTGTCCGTGGAAATAAAGCCGTCCGACTCACAGCAAGTTGTCAGATCTACGTTTACACAGAGATCACAGAGATACATAAAACTTGTGCTTCTCTCACCCGAGACATCCGTGGTCATCAGTAAGATTGGGATAGAGATGGTTAGGCCTCTCATAGCACCAAAAGCGTCCTTCTATTGCTCTGACGAGTCTCTCAATCTTATTTGGAAAGACGGCGTCAGGACCATAGACGCGTGCACTGTACTCAAAGGAGAAACCGCACCATCATGGGAAGTCACTGCAACAGGCACCAGAATTCCCGGTCAGCATTGGGCTCCTTGTCGCCGGGGCACTCGGTGGGGCGATAAAGAAGTCTCATTCGAGGTCCTTGCGGAACAGCGTGGCGCCAGTTGGGGCGTTCATATGGTGGCCAATGGAATCATCTTCTGTTTGGACACAGAAGCTGAAGAACTTCGTGCCTATGAGGGTTTGTCGGACCAGCCAGCTGTGTTTCCGGTGAAGAGATTCGGAAGCTGGTCTACCCATGGCATCGCCAAAAGGGGTGAATGGGTCAAGATATCCACCGTCGCAATTGGCAGCGTCGTCACGGTCACAATCAATGATCGAGAAGTCACTACAATTTCAGATGCTCAAGTGCGGCCGATACTTGGTGGCTCAGCCATCAACACCGGCTCTGTGGCCTTTGGTGGACCCAACGGATGGCGATCAGTCTATCGAAACCTGGTCGTTAAAAGCCCCGACGGAGAAATCTTGTACGAGAACGATATGCAACTCGGAAACAAGGACAGAATTCTGTCAGACTTTCAAGTAGGAACCAATGCTGTTTCCTGTATGATTGATGGTGCCAAGAGAGACAGAGCCACATTTGGCGGAGATTTGTTCGTGTCGGGCCGAGGAGTTGCCTATGCTCGCTTGGATATTGAAGCTGTTGCGGGCAGCATTAGACTGCTTGCGAGTCACCAAACAGCAGAAGGATATCTTGGTAACCTCTGTCCGATCCAAGCCCCCATTCATACTGGCGATGAACCGCCGCCGACATACGCGTTCTACTCCATAACATACGCTTTTCTGTTGGTTGTTGCCGCCAAGGATTATTGGCTGCACTCAGGGGATGACAAGTTTATTTGCGATTTCCTTCCCGCCGCTGAAAAGCTGCTCACATTTGCGGAATCACATCTGAAGCCATCCGGTCTCATAGAGGCACCTCCTGAACTTTCAAGTAAGTATGCAATGTTTAGATCACAAATCCAAGCTAATAAATCTCAGTGCACTGGTACCCTATGGGTGGTCCGATATTTGGTGCTTCTGGAACCACAAACCTAGCATACTATGACGCCTTGAATGCCATCATTGCAATGACCTCCGATGCTGAACGGAAAACGCAACTCGCCGGTAAGGCCCAGACTCTGAAGGAAAGCATCCTGGCCTGCCTTTGGAACCCAGAAACACGCAGTATCCGTATGGGTATGGCATTGCCCAGCGACGGTATCTGCCAAGACACAAACGGTTACGCGCTCCATTTTGATAGTGCTTACATTGCCTGCTGGGACGATTGCAGAGCTATCGGCCCCTGAACAGTATGTTAACATGGGAGGCAGTATTGTTGAGGGTCCGTTGGATAAGTTCGAAGTCAAGTTCCAGCGTCGGTAGAAATGCGTAGTTAAGGATCAAATATTCGAATTTCGAGCAAATCTTAACTTCCTCTCAGTTAAGTCATCGTCATATAGGGAGAGGCATATTGGTCAGCAAAATAGTCCAAAGTTCATCCATCCCTTTAGCTAAGCATAATCTCCCTTTGCTTTGCACTGTGAAAGGCCTCCTTGAACACTTTGCCCACGCCAGCCCTTTCCCACTTTTCTTCCTTTCTCTCAACGAGAAGAACATAGTACAAATCCCACTCGCTCTGCTCTCGTTCCTTTGGTATATAGTACGTCCACACTGGACACTCAGCAAGCGTAAAGCTCTTCGCCTCCGAGATGGCGATAAACTCCTGCTTCTCGCCCGCTTTGGCTGCCCATTCAGCGTCCAGCACAATTGACCCGCACCAGTCTCCCACGTCGTCCGTGATATGGTATCTAGTCAGTCCCGTCTCAGAATCCAGGCTCAGCAGCTTGCGCTCGCCCACTTGGCGTTCGGAAGGAGTGCTCTGTCTGATATTGAGCCAAGTGTGCCAGGTGCGGAACTGCAGAATCGGAAGAAGGGGAAACTCGGATGTCTCGGGCTTCGGGTTGAACGGCGCTTTAACGACGCGGTACGGATAGTCTCGGAGGGTGATGTTGAAATCTTTCTCGTTATCTTCGAAAAACATATCAAAGAAGGCGGCGGTATGAACTGGATTCAAGGGTGCTACAGGTTTAGGAGCAGATCTTTTGGGGCCGTATTCAGCATATGCATCCATTGCGTCACTTGCAATCAGTTAGCCAATGCCTTCGTACTCATCATTTAACGGAAGTGACTCTTACTTTCTCCAACCTTCGGCGCGACTCTGCCTCACAGGTGGTCGCAACTTTTGTCGATCTTGTTGCATCAGGTCTTCTGGCGGTGGCGCGGGCGCTGGTACACCATATTCATATGGTGGTCGGTAGTGCGGAGACCCTACAGCGGCCGCAGCTCCCGCAGCGGCCGAAGCTCTCAGGTATCCTTGCGGACGCCGATACGACCTATCAAGAATAAGTTAGACATGCCAAAACTCGGTTTTCAAGCAAGAAAATCAATAACTCAAAGCTCTTACATCTTCGGTACAGATGTACGGGCCGGTCTGGGTGCGGGAGAGCGACGAGGCATGCGGCTGTACTGTGCTTCATTGTTTGACTCCCTTACTCCTCCATAAGGAACATAGTATCCTTCTTCTTGCCTCGGTCCATATGCCGTGTCTCGAATTGGGTTTTCGATCCGGGCCCTGACTCCTGAGCTTCTTTCACGGCGAGGTGAGACAGAGGCACTGTCAGCGTCTTCGCTTTCGCTGCAACATTGATTAGTGATTAGGAACCATTTTGCAGCGTCATTACTCTTACGATATGTCTGACGAGTTATCCTCAGCTGGCGGGTTTCTTGGATCTCGGCTACGTAGGTTGCCGGACTGCATTTCTGCGATGTATGTTAGCCTGTTTCTCTTCTTCCTTGGACGTCAACAAGGCCATACCTTTGTCTACCCGTCTTTCGGTGTATCCTCTCCAGTTCGAGTCTAGGCTCAAATCTTCCACGGACTGATAATAGTCCCAAAGAGGCCGGAGGTCGCCGTGCCCGTCTCGCACCCACCATTGGATCCAGGTATGCGTGTCCAGCCACTGCGAAACGTTGTCAAGGATGCCCCCGACAAGATCATCATGATACTTTGTCTCACCAACCCAGCCAGTCCAAGACCAACTGGGAAAGTCTGGGATAGTGTGGTTGTTGTCATTCGTCGAAATCATTCGCCGTTTTACTGACTTCACCGGCTCCCACAGTAGAGCCAGATCGAAGTGAGAACTGGGGAGGCCATGTATGAAAGGCGCGCACATGCGCTCCTCCATCATGTTTGCCATACCACTGAAGGCCGCCTGTATGTCTTTGACTTGGGTGAGTTTTCTTTCGGTATACAGCTCAACACACTTCATATAAACCCAGAACGCTCGGTTATCCAGCTGTCTGAACATTTGCATGGGGGCATCAACAAGGTCCAATGACCATCCAGCGCCTTTTTGATCACCAAAAATGTCCTCCGACATTCCGGTCGAGCGGCATTGGAAGTAGACTCTGCCGTTGGTGAATATTAAGCAACGGCGGGAAAGCAATCGTTCTTGAAATGTCCAGGCTCGTTCGTTCCATTCCGAGGCTCTTATGTATATCTCAGGTGGACGAGTCACCATCAATTCGAGGTGGGGGTTGATGTTCCGCTTATACTGCCTGGTGTTGCGCGTCTTTGGGCGCATAGCCCGCAGTCCGCATGAGGCGTCACCATCAGCAGCACAGATGGTGAGTGCCGCATTGCCATAGATAAGGTCCATGTTGAAGGCATTCAGCTTCCAAGACCGTGAGCTGTTTTGGACGATGCAGAGGCGATCTATCCACATGTATCTAAACCCAAGTCTGCGAACCAGGTCCATGGCGTCTTGGATTGCCTTGGGTAGTCGATGCAGGACATCTTCCAGCCCACCGTGCATGCGATGCAGCATGACGTTCTCTGCCAGGGTGGTGTACGCCGTCTCATCGGCTCCCCAGACGTAGCTCAACGCCACATATGGATCATGTCTGTCTGAGTCTGCTTCATCGCTGTCCTCTCGGCGGTCTCTGGAGGGTTTGATTGGAAGTTGCGTCAGTTGCATATTCTGCACGTCAATAACTCCGAAGTAGGAGTGCGAAACCATCTCGACGAAACGGTCGACCTGCTGCTCATTCTTTTGGCGACAGGGACCCCGGTGAGACTTTTGGCAGAGATCCAGCCACGATCGAATCAAAGCTTGGTTTTCGATATCTTGCGTGATGTTTCGCCCCAAGAACATAGAGTCTTTCGCCCAGACCCGGTCAGCATCCGATGCGGTTCTGGCGGATTTGTCCGGTGCCACATACACCAGATATGCATCCGAAAGACGAGGATTAGTCCATCGGATGTGCATACGTCTAGTGATCCCACGCACTGCATTCACGGGGTTTTTGCCGTGGCCTTTGGTCGAAGCCGCCTCGCGACCGTCAATCTCCCAGCTGACGGAGCAGAGAGCGTCTTCCAATTCAGCTTCAGCTGCTGCGCTCAGATAGTCTCCGATCGGATTTCGCGTTCCGGCTTCCTCCACCGAGTCGATAATGAGAGCGCACATCTCGCAATTTGAAGAGCGTTGTCGTATCTCACTCAGACTTCCTAGCTGCTGCGGTGTAGTGTATGACCGCAGCGGGGTAACATGTTCTGGCGACGCATTTTTGGTGTCATTTGAAGACGCTGCTTTGACCTTGAAGCAGTTTACTCCCAACTCTAGGCTTCGGCAGCCTGTACACAGTTTCTGGGATTCCGTCAGTCCCTATGGCCATGGCAAACACGAAGGAGAGTCATCACCTTCTTTCTCTGAAGGCGCTGGTGGCTGTTGGCCTCAGAGGTTGGATCATACTTGGTCAGAGTCTCCAAGGGCTTTGGAGAGTCTGGGACTTCGTGCGTGACTCCGTTCTGATGGGTTGTTTCCATATTTATTGCGGTCACTTCATGACAACTCTAGAAAGTGATACAGCTCAGTTAGGTGGATCATGAAGACAGACAGCTTTGTATTTCTGCGGACCAATGCCGGGAGGCTGGGGCAGGCAGGGCATGCCATTCAACCGTCTGATTGGCTAATTTGCCCTGTGGGAAGCGATCATGCTCCTTGAACGACTAATAGATTTTTGTTTTTCAGCTTCTCTCGCAGTCTTACACTAGTTACATCGTGCTTACACAGTGCATTTAATGCCCTAGGAGACGTAGCATTGAAGTAGTAGTAGTGAAAGGCTATTTCAATACATTTTGTCACGGAGCGGAAATTGCTGGGTTTATTTGCCGTCCAAAATGTCATCCAAGTATCTACTTTTGATGTGTGTGACAAAAGACAGGGAGCAGCTCTTAGTTGCAGTTCTGGCAGTATCACTCTTCATAATACCAGACCGAATTCTGAAACTGGAATTAATGAGCGCGAAATAAAATTTGTAGATGCTTCCCTCATTTTGTTTTCCTATTCCATTGACTACAGAGCAAACGGCGCTTATCTGAGGAGGTCTGACAGCTGTCGACACATGGACTCACCTGATCGTTGGAGGATCACGCTAAGGGTGTGACCTCCACTGACAGTTCGAAGTGTCTTTAAACAAGATCCATGTTCTCACACCTTTTCGAGGCTACATTACACTAGCCATTCATTTTCTGACTATAATCACTCTGATATTAAATAACTACCCATCTCACTGAAGTTTACTAAATTCAATCGGAAACTTTGGCTACCTATTGAATGCCACAATGGCTGCTCAAGCTTACTCTTGTAGTACACCTGGTTCAATAGAAGTAGGCTCAGGCAGGCCTTTCCTTGACGATCAGACCGGCTAACACTTTGACAGATACCGGGTTTTGGTCTGCCAGTCAATCATAAGCCCGAAGACCGCTTTCCTTCTGCTGCTAGCGATTGGAGACAGACCTGGCCGCATACAAATCGCGAGCGTTGCATGGTGGCGTTTATGGAAGAGGTCACCCTCGAAAAAGACTGGGACACAAATGTTTTTCTAGACTCAATCATCAAAGAATGGAAGGCACATGCCATGACGAGGAACTGGCAGCAATATGCCGGAATCCGCCACGGTGACTTCACGGAAACCATGTTTGAATGCGTTTGTGGCCCAGCGACTATGGTCAGATGTTCGTCGGCTAACTATTCTATCAGTGTATTGATGAGTTGCAAGAGAAGGCCGAAATTTACAGGCAAACGGGGATCGTTGCAGTACTCGATATTGCTGTCCGTCTTGCGAGGTCGGACAGGGTCATTCCGCCAGAATTACAGCAATCGCTAAAGATCGCCGCGATTGACATTGAGCGGACTACATCTTTTAAAACATACAAGAACATCAGGACAAAAAATACGCAAATTGAAACAACTGACTCAACCTCGGCCAACACAGCGATACAACTCATCGATCCAACCTTATACCCGCTCATCTACGGTCGCTCAAGGGTTTTGCCTGACAAAGAGATCGGTCTCGACGACTGCCTCCGTCACATGAGCAAAGGGAACACAGTACCTATGCCCGATGATACTAGTAGGACGGAAGATTGCGATGATGCTCCGTACCGTGTGTGGTCAGGCAAATCTCAATGGCTACCGTGCAACGTCGAGTTCCCTGACGGCAAGAACGCGAAAATCAACAGCTACATTAACAACCTTCATCTAAGGCACCACGCGGACGTATACAAACACCTCGAAAAATTCATTACGAACATAATGCCACTCTGGAATCTTGTCTACTGTACAGTATACGAGGACACCATACCTTGCGACATGCGCATATTCTGGCAAGAAGCCTATCGAAGTTTTCCAGGAGAAGCGCCCTATGACCCGTTGAACATTAAAGACGACTTGATGAACGGCTTGATTGACGATGACGAGTGGCAAAGGCGAACGGAGGAGTGGCTACACGATCACAGTGTCACCGATCGGCCGGAGCCTCGACGCAAAAATGATAGAAGCTACGTACAGGATAGCCCAGTTACATGCGAGTCACTGGCCGACAACACGGTTATGCTCGGTAACTCAGGGGCCATTCAAGTAATCGTTAAGATGGAAACAATACACCTGACGCCAGGAAGCCCCGTACACGACTTGCGTGATGGTTTCATTTTGGACGGGGTTCTTAACGACCATATCGTGGCAACTGCCCTTCATTTCTTCGACGACGAGAATGTTACAGATTCTCGAATACGTTTCAAATCCAGATTTCAGGGTTTAAACTTCGAGGAGGATTGTGGCTATAATGACGGGGATTTTGCATGCGTTGATGAGATTTTCGGATTCAGGAGGAGCAAATTTCCATCCCTCCAGGATGTTGGGTTCGTCACTATGCGTGAAGGCCTGACGCTGGTATACCCCAACATCTTGCAACACAAACATTCTTCATTCCAGCTGAAAGATGCAACGAGGCCCGGACACAGGAAGATTTTGACGCTACATCTGGTTGACCCACGAGTCAAAGTCTTGTCTACGGCGAACGTGCCGCCTCAGCAGGCTGACTGGTGGGCTGGTGAGTTTTCGACAAGCCAGGGTCAAATGAACGTTCTGCCCAAGGAGTTGGTTGACATCATTGTGGACAATGTATCGGATTTTCCCATACCAAAGGAAGAGGCCCTGCGTCTCAGAGACGAAATGCTTGCGGAGAGAGCAGAGTTATCCGACAAAGTTCGAAGCATACTCTCTTCATACAAGGTAAAACTAGGTTGGTTTACTGATAGCGAAGACGACAGTGGTGGCAGTGAGGATGAATTTTGATGTCCAGCCAGGTGACGGGCTGGCCTTTTCCCTCAGTTGTGAACCCTGGCTGTTACCCAGGACACTTGCAGTGGCCTAACATTAACTTGTATATGGGTAGATTCTAGATTGGCACTTGAAACTCGACGTACAGTTTCCAAAGGGGATGCATCATTTGTGCCGAAGCATCTTATGTTATAGTACTTGGCGCCTCAATCTGTCACACCTCAGACATGGAGTAGGGCTGAAGTCAAGTGAAGCCCACCGCCAAGGGCCCGTCATAGGGTATCATTGTCGCTCCGCTTGATAGACTAATACTTCTGTTGGTTCAAGTTGAAGTCTTTTCAGCGCTCTCACCGCTCTTGACCTTCTCAGACTCCGGACTCTCAGTCGCTTTACCCCCCCTCTCCTCAGAGGCCTTGTCTGAGGCCACCTCCTGTTCAGCCGGCTTTGGCCTCCAGTACAAGCAAGTGCTGGAGAAACTAGTGTAAGTCCCGTCTTGAGGAAACGTAAACTGCTTGTGCGAGCTATGCATGTCGCTCATGCACTTAAAATCTCCCTCTTTTAACGTTCCGGCCCTGGGAATGTCAGTCTCCGCTCACACACTTTGTAATATTGACTAACCCATCCCAAACATCCCATCCTGTCCCAACAAACATCGCAGGTAAGGCCTTCTCCAGTGTAGCTTCGTATATCGGCCGGTACATATGAATGGCAAATACCAGCGTATCTTCGTCGACGGCTTCAAACGCTGCGGGCGACTCAACCACATCATGGCCAAGATTCTTCAGGAACTCGATATCATTGGGCGTGAACCTCGGTTCTTGAAAGGAGCACGGTATGGATTCGTTATAGATCTCGGCTATCATTACGTGAGTTGGATGTACATCAAGAGAACAAAGTCTACACATACACAAAACCTCCACAACAGTCAGGAACCCGTCCAGCTGGATATAACTCCTCCTCTTCGCATCCCATCCCCCGTCCTCAGGGTCGAACGTGCCGACGCCAAGACACACCGCCCGCCGCACCCTTCTGCCCTCGTCGGCGTTCTCTCTCACCAGACCCTTAATTCGGGAGTGACATGCGGTATCGCGCCAGCGGACCTTGAAGGACTCGTACTCGGTCGTGATCTCGGCGACGGACTTGTAGATGCGGGGTTCATCGTTCTTGGAGACGTTCAATGCCTTGGACGGCACTTTAGGAGGATTCCTCCGGAACCTTGACTTGGACTTTACGAAGGTCCATTCCTCCTTCGGTTCGTCGTTCTCGGGATGTACCGTCGCTGCCATGGTATGCCTTTGCGTTTTGGTCCTGGTGATTTGGCGGGGTATGGGGGCTTTGGTGGATGAACTTTTTGACCGGCAGAAATTCCACCGCCTGCTGTTCCTAGACCCACAGCTGGAGGCGGTGAGAAACCCCACCATTTCTGATATTATATAAGCAACAATGGTAGATGGGGATTTGGTTGTTCAGGCCAGTCACTAAGGAATTTAGCGGTCTCCAATTCCGGCCCAGCAGGTCTGCTCAGCTATGGATACCAGCGTTATCGCTGATAGGTACTCATAGCAACACCAAAAGCGGGTTGTCTACCAGTTAAGCTGCCTACATGATGAGCTAAAGTGATAAAACACGACTAATTATATCTACTTTGTATAGATATAGCTCATAGACTTCTGAGCAGAAGTAATTTACTCCCTTAGTAATAAAAGTAGTCGTTACACAAATGCATTGCAGGCAAACGCCAACAACCAGTGACAATCGAAATCACGCAAACCAATCGGCGCGCCTGATGAAGCGCCAGCCTGATATTGTGTCTGACGACACCCTGCGGTCGGTCAAGAGTAATCTAACCATCTCATCCATCGATAACACTTCCTCGCCTTTGCCAAACGATCATTGTGGAAATTGCTACAACGACTTACTACTACGAAGTGTTTTTAAACGGTTCCCCATGTCTAGCCACGCCAGAGCCCTCCGCCGTGAAGACTTCCAGATCGCGGTTATATGCGCCGTGGGCTGCGAATACGATGCCGTTGCCCTTGCCTTCGATGAGATACGGGAAGGGAATGGAGGTCTGGGAAACGCATCTGGGGACAATAATAAATACAAAATCGGTCGGATTGGGGGCCATGACGTCGTTCTACTGCTTCTCCCGAACATGGGAAAAGTCAACGCAGCAAGCGCGGCAACCGCCCTGTTATTCAGCTATCCCGGTGTCAAGTTGGCCATCTTGACTGGCATCTGCGGCGGAGTTCCGAGAGTTGGGACCGACAACGAGGTCCTGCTTGGAGATGTGGTTATCAGCAAGAGCGTCGTACAATATGACTTCGGCCGGAGGCATCCCGATCGGTTTGCCCTGAAAGACACCGTTGAGGAGCGCCTAGGGAGACCTAACGTGGATATCCGGACCCTGATTGCGACTGTTCAAACCTTACATGGCCGAAATAATTTGCAGCGTCGGACAAACGAAATCCTGGAGTGGATCCAGCAAAAGGCAACTGACAGTGGATATCAAGACCTGTATAAGCGGCCTGCAGTAACAGAAGACCGCCTTTTTGAGCCGGACTATCTTCACAAGCACTATACCTCTACATGCTGTGGCTGTAATGAATCAAGAGCCTGTGAAGAAGCACTCCAGGCTTCATGCGAGGAACTCCAGTGCGACTTTGCACGTCTCATGTTGAGGAAGCGCCTCAAGAAACCGAAGTTACCTGACGAGGGACATGAACTCGAAGCCTCAGTGGCACAAGACCTGCAAATGTTCGTTGGTCGTGTCGGCTCAGGCGATACTGTCATGAAATCTGGATTGGACCGCGACCGGATTGCTGAAGATCATGACCTCATTGCGTTTGAGATGGAGGGAGCTGGTGTCTGGGACCAGATACCCTGCATCATTGTCAAAGCAATATGTGACTATGCAGACAGTCACAAGAACAAGAAATGGCAAGCGTTCGCTGCGGCGACAGCAGCTTCTGCAATGAAGGCACTTCTGGAAGATTATCCCCATACGGATGTTCCAATACCTCCCACTACGCAGTGTAAGTAGCTTATCTCAAATGCGTCATCTCTACTGACAGATTTTAGCCGTCATACCGATACTAGTTGAGAATCAAGTCCCCACACGAGTATCAAAACCACAGGACGAGAACGAAAGAAAGCTTCTTCAGTTGCTGGCCGCAAATCATGACGCTTACAAAAACTTCAACCCCAGGAGAGTCACCGGCACGTGTGAATGGTTCTTCAAGGACCACAGATTTCACAGGTGGCTCGACAGCACAGCTTCAAGCATCATCTGGGTCTCCGCCGGTCCTGGATGCGGCAAGTCTGTGCTATCACGGGCTCTAGTGGACAAGATTCAAGAGTCATCAGACCCCGCCACTACCACGGTCTGCTACTTCTTTTTCAAGGACGGCGAAGAACGACGTACCAACAGCCATGACGCGTTGTCCGCTTTATTACACCAACTCTTCGCCCACAGCAGGACTTGCTCTCTGATTAGCCATGCAGTTAAGTCCTACACGGATTACGGAGAAAGCCTGCGAAATAATTTCTACCAGCTCTGGACTATCTTCACAGCTTGTGTGGAGAGACCTAATGCTGGGGAAGTCATTTGTGTGCTTGATGCCTTGGACGAATGCAGCCAAAATGACCGAAAAGAGATACTCAAGGCCCTTGAGACCTTCTACTTCAGTCACCAGTTGCATCAAAGTACAGCGAGGCTAAAGTTTCTCATTACAAGCCGGCCGTATGACGACTTGGACAGCTCTTTCATGAAGTTCAGGAAGTCGCTTTCTGCTGAAACATACATCCAATTTGACGGAGATGAACAGTCTGAAGAGATTCACCATGAGATTGACCTTGTCATTGACCACAAAGTTAATGAACTCTCAGAGGATTTTGATGTAGCAGAGTGTCAACAAATTTCTGCTCGCCTAAAGGCTATGGAGAACCGTACCTATCTCTGGCTTAGTCTCACCTTTGACATTATAACCCAACATCGGAGCGCGTATAGCAGAGTCTCGGATATTGAATACCTCTTATCTGATGTTCCCTCGGGGGTGTTCAACGCATACGAAAAGATTTTGAGCCGCAGTTATAACAAGATTCAAGCTAGTCATCTTCTTCAAATTATCCTCGTTGCCAGGCGGCCTTTGACTCTAGACGAAGTCAACTATGCTCTGACATTGCAAGAGAAAGAGTTCAACAATTATGATAGCTTAAGGTCTAGACTTTGGCGTCGAGAGACCTTCAAAAGAACGGTAAAAAACCTGTGCGGCCTGTTCATCAGTGTGTATGATGACAAAGTGTCTCTCATTCACCAGACAGCTAGGGAATTCTTAACATGCCCTGAACAACAGAACGAATGGCAAGGAAGCGTTGATATATTTCTGGCGCACAACACCATCTTCATTTCTTGCATTCGTTTCTTATCACTCCAAGACCTCAACCTGATATGGCAAAACCAGGCCAGTGATCAGGTATTGTCGTTTGTCTCGTATGCTGCTACGAATTGGACAATACACTATAACTCTCAGGACGAGGTTAAAAGAAACACATTTCGTGGCGATGCTCGTGATTTGTGTCATATATCCAAAAAACACACACCAGTTTGGGTTGAAGTACTCAAGAAGGAACCATATTTTCCTTGGAGATATTCGTCCAAATGGACAGATTTGACTCTAGCAAGCTATTTTGGTTTACTGGAGGTCGCCAAACGTATCTTAGACCAAGAAATGACTGACGTTAACTCAAAAGGTGGGTTCTTCGGCACAGCAGTTAAGGCTGCTGCGGCGCAAGGTCATGACAAGTTGGTTCAAATGCTGGTTCAACATGGCGCTGATTGTGACACTGGGGGTGCTCACTTTGAAACTGCTCTTCACGTAGCCGCATATGGAGGGCATACAAGAGAAGTGGCTCTCAGGTAACACAGGACGACATCGAGGCTGCGAGATGGTGTCGGCGAGATGGGGAAGATTTGATGGCTTTGCTGCTAGAGAGTCTTCGAGATGAAACTGAGCTTACCCCAGAGCTTGTCATAAGCTTGGGTGGTGAATCTTGGCGTAAAGAGAGGACAATCGATATACTTTTTAAGAAGTATCTTGGTAAGGTTGAGATTATGCAGGAGTTTGTCGTAGCTGCGGCAGGGTCTAAGGGAAATGTGATGAGTGTTATCCTGGAGAACCATGGTGATAGAATTGAGATTACTGAAGAGGTTGTTAAGGCTTTATCAGGTAACCGAGACATTGGAAAACAGATGATGGCTTCGCTCTTCGAAAAGCGTGGGCATGACTTCAAGATAACGGAACAGGTTGTTATAGCTGCAGTGTCGAATACCGTTAATGGGGATGTTATTCTAGCTATGCTACTGGAGAAGCGTGGGGATGACTTCGAGATAACGGAACAGGTTGTTATAGCTGCAGCGTCGAATCCCGTTAATGGGGATGTTACTCTAGCCATGATGCTAGAGAAGCGTGGAAATGAGATTAATATCACACAGAAAGTTATTATGGCTGCGGCGAAAACAGGATCAGGTAAGTCAATCACCCTACTACTTGAAAGGAATGCCGGTATAGTTCAGATTGCGACACCTGTTGTTGAGGCTGCAGCGGGGAATATTTGGTGTGGGAAGGAGACAATTACCCTGCTTTTAGAGAAGTATGGGTATGAAGTCAAAATAACACAGGACAATATCATAGCTGCAGTCAGAGCAGGTTGGAGAGACGCGAGATTCGCATTTTTACTAAACAAACGTGGAGATGAGATTGCAATCACGCAAGAGGTCCTCATAGCTATAGCAACGAGTCCTCATGGGGAGCAGTTGATGGCCCTACTCCTTGAGGTGCGTCCAAATGAGGTTCGAATAACGCAAGAGGTCCTCATAGCTATAGCAAGGAGCCCTCGTGGGGAGCAGTTGATGGCCCTACTCCTTGAGGTGCTTCCAGATGAGGTTCAAATCACGCAAGAGGTCCTTATAGCTATAGCGGAAGGTTGGGCTGGGGAGGAAATGATGGCCTTACTCCTAGAGATGCGTGGAGATGAGGTTCACATCACCCAGGAGGTCCTTATGGTTATAGCAGAGAATCGTTATGGGGTGGAAATGATGGCCTTGATCCTGGAGGCACGTGGAGACGAGATTCAGATAACACGACAGCTTCTCAAAGCTGTCGAAGAGTGTGGGTGGCAGGCCTCGCCGGCCCGTCACGTGGGCTGACGGCCGCCACCACTGGTCTTAGCCAGCCTCCACAGCCCTCTAGCCAGTTAGTTAGTTCTTCCAACCAACAACACCACTTTTCCCCATTCTGAGCGTTCTGTGCTGGTTTCGCCCATAGGTTATGAGCCTAGCGTTATTCTTTCGGAATAACGTCGTTTTACTTATTATTCTACTCGTCTGTTAATTTTCTATTGATTCACGAATTTTTGCGATTTTATTCGCTTTATTTACCCTTCTATGCGATTTTCTCGCCTTATTTTCCCTTCGCTGACGAATTTTACTTTCTGACGCGATATTAGCTGCCTGGCGCGCACGAATATCACGTAGCACGCGACCGACTACTACAACCTACTGGTTTTTACGAATACTACGGAATTCTATATATAACTAAACTTTTACTTCGATTCCTCGTTCTTACGAGAATTTAACTATTTTAGCTTCGGTTTTTCAAACTAGCCTATTAGTTTCTTATATCTTCTACGAGTATTTATTCTTCCTTTCGATTTACTATATTTCTACGGTCGGATCTTATAATTCTACTTATTTCTTATATTCTTATATAAGATTCTCCTTCTTATATAATATTTATACTTCTTTAATACTATTTACTTATTAATACCTTCCTTTTAATACCTTCCCTTTCTAATAGTATATATAGGTAGTAGCGAAAGTAAGCTATCTAACGTATAGATACGCCTCTAAAGCTATAGCCTCGGAGAAACGCTTATGATCGAGGTATGACTATAAGTCTATCCCGTACTATTATAATACCTTTATTTTTTACTTTAAGATGTCTTAAAACGACTTTAAGACCGTCTTTACGCTTCTTCCTTGCTTGAAAGGTAAATCTAACTAGAATACCTAGCGTATGCTTGTTATAGCGACCTTGCGAGGATACGACTTCGAGATATTCCTCGAGACTAACGTCCCTCGCCTTGCTAACCCTATCGCTATAGAGGAATAGAGAAAGAACCGTAACGTTACGTATAGTCTCCTTATAAACGCTAGCGAATCGGTTCTTAATAGACTTTATATAGCAGGTTAGGTTAACGATAGAAACCCTTACGAATTATAGCAGGCGTTTAAGAAGTATATTCCGAGAATCTTATAAGACGCTATAGCTACCCTTGTTAACGAGTTTGCTAAGACTACTACT